TGAAAAGCCCGGATGCAAAAAAATCATCTCCGAGCAGGACAGAATGTGTTCTGACGTCTAAGAGCCTTTCGTGTTTCTTAAGCCTTTTAAAAATGCATTTCCAAACGTTTTAGCTTGTCACGTAGAGGAGTGAAAGCACTTTGTTTAGGAACAGCAGAATGGAACATGGTGGTTGCCTCCCCCTTCATTTTCCCCTCCTTTTTCCTTCCTGTTTAAACAATTTGGTAGAAATGAGAGGGCTGAATGACAATGAACCAAATTTTCGTGTTTTGGTAAGGAAAATTGTGACCATAAATGCCACTCACTTCTGTCTGAAACTGTACGGATTTCCAGAAACATCACATGACGGTGCTATTTTAGATGATGATTAGATGGGTTAAAGATTTCATTTTATCTTCTTTAATGAAACAGAGATATATAGCAGAACTCAGAAGCTTTCAATCCACAATCTTTTTTTGAAAGCATTGAAAGGAAGGGGAAAAAAGCAAAAAAAATGTAAATGCAAGTAAAATACTTCCAGTGCAGGAGAGGACTGTTGAGAACTCTCTCAGTTGCTCAGTGTGGTGCTGTGGTGTTGTTTCAAGTCAATGGGAGATAACCGGAGGGGCTAATTTTCCCTGGATCTGAGGTTTCCCTGCTTTCTTATCCCTACAGTCAGGAGGTAAGAAATATCAGAGGAAAAGGAACAAGCTGGGTTTGCCAAGATGTTGATGAGCCCTGCCAGTGCTTGGCCTCAGCCACCCGACTGCATTCTCAGCCCAGAGCTCGCTCTAATCCCTTTCGTGGCACGAAAGCATCTTTGACTCCGATCCATTGGAAACTATTTGCTCTCTGGTGATCGAGGTGCAACCCCTGGATTCTGCAAGGTCTCAGCGAATTCTGCCTGCCCTGAGGACCTCCATCTCTGCCACCTAACATCTGAACAGCTGTGCCCCAAACTGCCCTGTGCTACCCTGTGCCCGGTGGTGCACCCCCGAGTCCCGCATCTTTGCTGTTTGTGGCCACGAGTTGTGTGGTTCAAGTGAAAAGTATCAGAGTGGAAAATCTGAACCTCGGTATATCTTGGTTCAATGGCACTGCAAGAAAACGAGCTCTCTGGGTGCTTCTTTCTCTCTAAGTAAACACAGACAATGTATTCTGCGGCCAAACGATATTATCCCTCGGAAATTAGGGCTGTTGTATTGGTGTGAGCAACAAATTTATTTTGAGTTGTATTTTGTATTGTGTGTTGTATTGTTGTATTGTTGAGTTTGTATTTTTGTATTGTTGTATTTCAAGTTTTAAAGAATCCGTTTCAAAAGGAAGGGATCTGTGTGATCAAAAAGTGGGGTTGGGGTCTGTATTTTGAGCAGAAAAGTCCGAAGGGATCTAGGGTAAAGTAAAATAGCTTGAGTAGACTTCTTTTTTCTCTTCTGCTCAAGATGATGGAAGACGTGCAAAATTATGTTGTCAAATTCAAATTATCCAAGATTAATACAGAAGAATTCAAAAGCTGAATCCCTGCCAGCCTGCCAAAAGTGAGACTACCTTGTCTAAATCAATTACTTCGGAATAGCCATCTGCTAATAGTCTGTGCGCTGTAACGCAGCCTCTCGGGACCTTACTACTCCAGTGAGAGAAAAATGAAAATAAAAGCAAGCAGAAGAAATCCCAGGGGACTGTAGCTTCAGGAGGCGAAAAATCAGTGCTTTTTGCTTGCCTGTCTCTTCCCAGTTTCCTGCCCCCTTCAGCATATGAGCAAGACAAGAAGAGTTTGTGCACTTTGGAAACTCGATAGGAGGCAGCAGCTGATCTTCCCATCACCAGCCTAAAAATAATCCATTCCAGGGCTTGGAGCGGCTTCACTAAGTGGAGGAAAATCCTGCCATCGGGATGATATTGATCACATAGCACAACCGAGTGACAATTTGGGTTGGTATTTTGTTTTTGTGTTTCCGAAGGTAAGCTGCAGAGTTCGATCTAACATTCAGCAAGCAACCGGGGCATGCGATGACCCTCCCCCATTATCTCCCACTAACCACCTCCTCCTCCTCCTTCCCTTTATATCTGTGGGACAGGGCTGCTCCTTCTTCTTCCCTGGGATTACGACTCCAATCTCTTTTTCCTTTTCCTTTGCCATTCGCAGGCGTTCTCCAGCTTTTACCGTCCCCTCCTGCTGATGTGTTTTCTTTGCTGCTCTTCGCAGGGTTACGCTGGTTTTTTTTTTTGAACTCTCCTGCCTCGGCGTGTGAAGCCGAAGGTTTTAGGGCAGGCAGTGTGGCAAAATCGTGCTGGGTTAAAGGAGCTTACCAAAAAGGAAAGCCAGCAGTGTGTGAGCTGTGTGTGAGGGACTGTGTGAAACCCTTTGCAGCACCAGTTAGCCTGTGTAAGCACCGCCACTGCTGCGATTCTCTCTCTGCCTCTGGAGCCTGATCCAAAAAAAGCTACCAAAGTCAACGAGATTTCTTTGCGTTGACTTCAGCAGCGTTTGGATCAGGCTGCTGCCAGTTAGCAGCGCGGATGCTGACAAGTATCAGAGGTAATTCATCACCTTAAGGCCCGGGGTAACTGGGGCAGGGCTCTAGCAAGGAAGCAGGGGTTATTTAGAAGAGGTGGTCACAGCTTAAATAGGAATAAAAAGGGAAATAATTTTTTTGTATGGGGTCATTTTTGATAAAACAGATTTTAAAGGGGCAGCATTTTTTGCCATTACCTTAGTGGAACTCTCTGCAAATAATGCATAGACTGTAGATCACATGGGTTGTGTGAGGTCCAGTGCTTTTAGGAAGGTAAGAAGAACAAATTAGTGGGTTTATACTTAGAAAGAAAAAAGATTCAGAGCACTAACCTAAAACCTGCGGCAAAACTCAGGCCTTCCAGTGTGCTTATCCAAACCTCTAAATTCATAATTTAACCTTAGTTAAAATTTTCTTTGTGAAATTCAAGAAGGAAAGACGGATCTTTGCTTTTGTAATGACTTAATTATTAAGAAGATAAGAACTAACTACTGTTGTAAAACTGCATGCTTTCTCCATTCTGCATCTGTATGCATACACACATCTATGTATGTGTGTGTGTATATATATATGTATATGTGTATATGTGGGCACACAATGCACATTATGTGTAAGACCAAAAGAAAAAATAATCTAAACTGAGACCCAGGTATGCTCTGTAAACTGATACATTTTAATTAGGAAGTGCAGCTATTGATTATTTTTTTTAATATAGCAACAGAACTTCTGAAATAAATGTTTTTCAAAATATCCTTATTTCCCCCAAACAAGGTCCACCTGAGGAGTGTATTTATACTCTTTTGTTTATAGTCATAAGTATCTTGCAGAGCATGCTGAACAGAGTGATAATTCAGGTAAGATGAAACTCTTGAATATGATGACTTTTAAGTGCACTTTAAAATGTCTTTCATGGGAATTCTTACAGTTTTGCACGTGGTGAGGATGTTCTCATCATTTTTATGGAAATTTAAATTATCTGCTTTTTTCCCATTGTCTTCTTCACAATTGCTTATGGAAAATATATCTCAGGAACTGGCTTGGTGCCCTGAGAATCCCCATTTATGCTTGTTAAAATGAGATTTGTAAGTGTTAGGTTCAATGCTACATCATGTTAATGTTTACAACTTTGTCCTTTTTTTTTTTTTTTTCCCCAAAGCCTTTTCTCTTATTCACAGTGAGTATTTATTCTGCAACCACTTTCATACTGATTTCTGTTTATTATAATATGACAATGTCAATACACCTTAATCCAAAACCAGAAAGCCTCAACTTGCCAGTGATGGGGGTTTTAGGATGAAAATTTAGGTGGTTAAAGGACATAAGTTTTTTTAGCTATTTCATGACAGGATGATCTACTGTTCAGATAGTTCACATCCTCATTAAAGTAAACCAACAGGGAATCAGATTCCCAAATGATGTAAAGGACAGCTGAAACTTGCCTTCCACTGGCACCATCATGGTCCTGTCCTCCTGATGGTTCTTTCCATTCCCCTCCTCTGTGAAGTTTTGCTTGGGGTTTTTGCTTGTAGCTGCCTGTTCAGCAAAGGCTGTTTTCAAAGGGAGGAAGAAAAAATACATCTGAAGATTTCTGGCCAGTTCTAGAATTTGTGAAGACTAACGTTAAAAGCCATCAATTTGTCCATAACTTTGAAGAACAAAGGCCTTCCAGCCTACAAGTGTTAAAATGAATAATTACCTGATATTTGCCCCCCCTGTTAGGGTGCTGAATGTGGCTGGTACCCTCAGATAGCATGCGCTTGTTATCGGAAGATCTTTATCACATCACTCCGTTTCCCCACTGAAATGCTGGGTTAAACCTAGTATGCTTGGCAATCTTCTTATAGTGTGCTTGTTATCGGAAGATCTTGATCACATCACTCCATTTCCCGACTGAAATGCTGGGTTAAACCTAGTATGCTTGGCAATCTTCTTATAAAGTATAAAATTCCTGCTGTAATAAGTAGTGAGGCAAATATATTATGGTGTCCTCACTTTGGTGTAACCACCCCAGCATAATTTGTTGGCCTACTGCATTCAACAGGAAGGGAAGTTATCTCTGGGGAAAGACAGTTTTTGTAACGACTATGAATAGCATTGTCTTCTTAAATGAGTATATAAGGATCTCAACACTTCATCTGAAAGGCTGCTACTATCTGATGAGAAATAGTGGTCAGTAACTTCAGAGGACCAACAAATTTCAAAACAACTTGCTACCCTTTCGTCTGTTCTGTCCTGAATATTCTTGTATTCTTGGGATTGAAGCATGGCAGATGCAACAGCTCAGCGCCCGAGCTCGAGCTCGCTGTGTTCAGGGCTTCTTATCTTGGGAACAGCACCCCGCTGATATAAGACCATTCATTCTAAGACTGAACTAATATTTGCCTGGCTCCCCATTAGACTGTGTAGCCTACAGCACAGCAGGCAGCTGCCTCCTGCTGTGGAGGATAAGACCACCCAGCTTTGCTGTGTCGTTCACCTACGTGCAGCCCCAGGAAGCCCAGGTTTGTGCTGCTGCCGGTGTTACCAAGGAAGGGCTCTTGGCAAGTGTTAAAGAGGGCAACTGCTGCTAAGGAATGTGATAACCTCTCTGAGTTGAAGCAATCACTGCTTTTCTCTTTCCCATCCCTTGACAACACAAGTCTCTTCCAACTCTCCTCATGGGGCTTTGCAGCCCAGTTTTTCCGCTTTGATCTCTTCCTGCGTACTTAAGTGTGCCCTAAAAGTCTGTCTCCTCCTCTTCAGTAAGGAGAAAATCACCTTTGGCTACCCGGTCAGCTCTATATTCTAACTTGCTTAGGGCTAATTCAAAGATCTTCGGCCTGGCTATTCGTCACAGGGCTGTTGGGTGTGATCAGCATTCTGTCTTTGACAGTGATCAACAACCTCAGGAAAATCTAAAAAGCCTTCAGTGTATTTAATTATACACCGAGGGAAGCAAACAGCACTTCCTCACATAGGCAAGACACCTCTCTACAGACCTAGCTCTGACTGAAGCTCAGGGTTGACTTACTAGAAGAGTTAAAGCGAATGGAAGAATACTTTAATTATTATTAAGGGAACCAAATTTGGTCAGTGATCCATCATAGAAGTGTCCCATCTTCCTTTCTAAATCCAGCTGCAGTTTCTGATGAATAACAACAGTAAGCACAAATGCAATTCTTCCTGTTTTTTTTTTCTAAATTTGTTGCTCTTCCATTTCACGTTTTCATTTCATTTCATGAAATCTTATGGTTTTCCAGAAGAGAAGGGAATAGTGCAATTTCACTCAGCCTTTCGGTGGTTATCTGCAGTCAGGATCTTCCAGTCTGTCTTCATTTCATTAAAAGTCCACATAGCTGAGGCCTTTTAGAACTCTTTAAAATTCTTAGAATTTAAATTAAAGATCTCTGTGGCCTTAACTCCCAATATGGAAATGCTGTTTGAAAATGCAGCCTAGACTCTCAAATTAGTCTGAAGCTTTTGAACATGCGACCTGCACTGCAGCTTAGCCCTGTAGCTAAGCTGAACTTTGCAAGCATGGGATCTGAGTTTGGACACCAGAAATTTTGCTGTTATATTATCAGTTTTTTCCTTTGAAGAAGACTGAAGGTTGCAGTTTTCTTGGATGAGAAATTGCATCTGGAAGTCTGTCGTGGTCCAACTCCATTTAACTTTGGTGGAGCTGCGCAAGCGTTATCGTAGAATGTCCCATACTCTGTAGAAAAATCAAGCGCTTGTTCTTCTGCATTAGGGGCTTTTCTTTCTGTCCTTCTTCGGAAATGAACACAGCTTTTAAACATGGAGACCAATGAAAATTAGCTTCTGGGGGCATGCCCTGATGCAGCAGAAAGGAATGGCTGATTTCAGCTTTGAACCAAATGGGAGTCTCACTCATGTTGACTGTAAATGCAAAGCATCCTCCCTTACGTGTAGGTAAAATTTCATCCCTTATCTGTGAAACTTGAGCAAAGGAAGAGAAACTACATGACATGCTTTATGCCTGAGGTGCTTGTGGGTGCTTGTGCATCAGCGCATCTCCAGAGCCTCCTATGTAAGTTTTCCAAAAAACAGAGCAAGATCCTGTGGTCTGAGTCACATGGGCAGAACTGTGGAGGGCGTATCTGCTTTCTACACCAGAAATGGATGGGAAGGGAATGATGAGGTGGTTTCTTGCTCCCTATGAGCTCCAGGAGGCTGAGGGGAGACCTCATCACTCTCTACAACTACTTGAAAGTACGTTCTAGAGAGATTGGTGCTGGTCTCTCCTCACAGGTAATTAGTGATAGAACGAGAGGGAATGGCTTCAAGCTGCAACAGGGTATGTTTAGGCTAGACATTAGGAAAAAAATTCTTCACAGGAAGAGTGGTCAGACACTGGAACAGGCTGCCCAGGGAGGTGGTTGAGTCACCATCCCTGGATGTGTTTAAGGGACGTTTAGATGTGGTGTTGCCGGATATGGTGTAGGAAAGAACTTTGTAGAGTAGGGTAGATGGTTGGACTTGATGGTCCCAAGGGTCTCTTCCAACCTGAATGATTCTATGATTCTATATTTTTATACATCACTCTTGAAGATGCAGAGAACACAGCAGCCTGTCTCTGTAAACACCAGAAAGTGCCTGTGGAAGTTGGCAGATCAACAGATCAACAACATCAACAGATGCAGAACATGAGTCCTCCATCAGAAAGTGCCTGTGGAAGTTGGCATACATCAACAGATGCAGAACATGAGTCCTCCACTTTCAGTCAGAGTTCATTTCTAGCACAGTGGTGATGGACAAAAGAATGGAAGGAAGGATCACTGGACTATTAATGCTTCCACAGTTCTTATCTCTTCTATTCCCTATTGGTGCCAACTAGATGTGTATCCTGAAGTGGGTGCTGCTAAAAAGGGAAGTTCTACCTGGTGAACTTTTTATGAAGCCAAATTATAAGCTGCATTGGGTCAACATAGCATCATGACACTGATCAGAATGTTTTCATAGATTTTATGCTTGTGGAGGTTTAATAAACATGGTCACTGGATGTGCTGATTGATGAAGAAGTGTTTTGTGATTTAAAATCTTGGGAATTTATTGTCAATTACCCTCTCTCCTTTCATTGGCAATGCATTGTTTTTTATCTTCTGGATTTTCTTTTCACAAACTAACCAGCCTAGGCTCATTCATTTTCTCTCTCATTTTAAGAGAAGACAATTAAATTCTACCTCTTTTTTGAAACAAACCTGTAACATAAGTATTGTGAATAGACTGCTTATACCTATTTTTGGAAGTTGTCATCAAGTATGATGGGCACTGTCTCTTTAGGTCAGTGTTAACAATAGGACCAGATTCTTTCCTCAGCTCTGCCAACGCGCTAAGGACAGTTGGTTTCAAAAGTGTGTTATTGGACATACTCCATCACAGAATGCACAGACTCTTGTGAACGTTCAGATGTGATTCTTGAAAGATTCATCTTTCTTGAGAGCTTTTAGGGACTATTGTTTGAGGTGCAGGATGAAACCTCTGCAAACTGATGGTAGGTCCTAGCTAGCAGATAGGACTCTCCATGCAGTTAATAGTCCTTTCTTCCACAGGAACTTATAATACTGCCTGTAGTCCATTTCCCTTACAGAAAAATGAAAAAACAACAGTTCCCTTGGCTTCTCTTGGACATGCTTTTAATCCTTTCTCCCAGATTTATTTTTGACTCGAAGCCAAAAGCTACACTGTAAGTCAGTGGTTCAGTGCTCATTTGAACCCGGGATCCTCCTGCCTTTCGGTACCAATCCCACCACTAGACCACAACAGCATCTTACGCTGTCTCAGAAGAGAGTCCTCTTTGTGGGAAAGGGAGGAAAATTCCCAGCAGAACTCCCTTGGACTTCTGACCTTCGATAAAAATGAGGAAACAACAGTTATGATTTTTCAAGAGATTATCATTACTATTATGTTTCTCTTAAAGGAGACACGTCAAACTTTTTACAAATTAAAAACAAACACTCTCTGTGTAGTTCTTTTAGAAGTTCCACGTTTGTTTTGCTAATAACTCCTCAGTCTGTTCAGACAGAACTCGTATTAACAAAATGTTTCTCTTGTGTTAGTAGTCACACGCATTTATGAATCCACTTTGGTATAAAAATAAAATGATAGAATGATAGTGATCATATCACTCTATCCATTACAGAAAATGGGCCAAAGTCTCCGTCAAATTGTTTTCTACTGAAGATTGAGTCGGTTGCCTGTCAACTTTTGCACCACGGTAAGTACATACGTGCATTTTTGCATCTTCTGACAAATCTCGGACCATAAATTGCTGATATGTTTGGAAAAGGGACTGGATTTATCACATTCTTTTCAGGGAAACCCCATTATAAATTTCACCGATGTATTTCAATATGGGTTATGCTTTTCAGGTCCAGCAAACAGTTAGTTAAAAGAAAAAGGGGGTTTAGCAGGGGTTCAAAGTGCCTCCTTTTGAAGATCTGTATGTTTCTGCTCTAAGGGAGTACTTCAGTAATTATTCTTACCTTGTTATACTTATTTTGTTTAAACAGCTAAGCTCATAGAACTGATCTGAACTATTTGAGGGAAGCAGGAAAGCCTTTTTCTCCTCATTCAACTAATTTTTTATTAAACTGTGCTCATGCTGTTTGTGCATGTCTATATTGTTCTGAGTCCACAAAACTCATTAATGCCAGTGTTGTTCCAGAAAGATGCATTCACCAAAGTATACATATACTTTGCTGAATTAAAGATATTCTTTCCATTTCAGTGTGTAAAATTTGGAAAAAAATATGTGAGTAGATGAGTTTACACAACCTATTCTTCAGCACTATGTTGCTGTGTACAAGCCTGGGGCAAAGAAATCCGCAAGGAAACATTCTCGTTTCGTCTTCTGATAAAGAAGAGTGAATAAATAAAAAATGGAGAGGTTGATAAAAGCCAGAAGGTGGCCGTAACTCTGGGTCATACTATGGCTCACACTCTGCAAGCGTGAACGCATGGGCCTACAAAGATAATCTCGTAAGGAATCATGGAAGTCAGAGAACTGCTTAGATGAGGTGAAGCACGTGCATAAGGATTTGCAGGATCTAACAAAAATGCTGATTTACTGCCTATGCAATCTTCAATACAGCCTACTTTGATGAAGAGTTTGGCAATTATCTGTAATGACTAGTGTATATAACCATCGTTCTATGGGACAGTGAAGAAATACAGAATATCAGTGAATGCAAAGCTGCCAAATCACAAATATCAGAGGCTCAGAACTTGCACTGAGAATGTAGTGCAACAAATTTTATTATCAGAGATGATACGTGGAGGATGTTGGCTCATCAAAGAAGCAGTAACACACAAGAATCAGCGTAGGTGCATTTGAGTTTTCTTATGAGAAATTGAAAACTTATTTTCCCCAAACTTTCCTGTTCTTTCTCCATGTTCTCATAGAGCATTTGCAGCATACCATGTGTGCATATTTGCGGACACTAGAAGACATAGTATAGTGCATTTAATAAATAGTACTTATAATAAATAGTAAATATAAATAAACATAAATAATATTAACTGAATAGAAATAATAATTATTTAATATAAACACAGCCTTCATTCTCATGTGCTTATACGTGACGGAGCCCAAAAGAATTTTTAACGTACAACTGAATTATTCTCTGTGGGCTGTTCAGTCTGCTCCTCCTGTATCTCTTTATTTAGTTTGTTTTGTGTTTGGCTAAAGAAAATGTTGGCAGTGTTGCTAGTCAACTGTTCTCTCTTTTTTTGTAGTAGTCAGACCTTCTGGAAGCGATGAGGCTCGCATTTTGTGGCAACGACAACGCTTCAGCCTATAATATCAGTGCCGGGGTCCTAAGAAATGTCTGCTTTGTGGATGCCCTCAACTTGGTTCCCCATGTCTTCTTGCTATTTATCACCTTCCCAATTTTGTTCATTGGTGAGTTATTCAGTGGAGCTGTGCAATCCTACAAACCATTAAGCATGTCTTTATCCTCAGTCATGTTTATATGTGCTTAGAGGCCTGTGGTGCAAACTATTGGATGCTTTGTATTTATTAATTTTTAAATAGAAGAGACAGAATGGCTTCACCCAGAGGACGTGACGCCAACCCCCTTGAAATGTTGGGAATTTTAGATATAAATCTGAACTAAACAGCATGAAAAGATGGATGAGAACCAGAGAAGTCAGATTCAAATGCCTTGAAACCTCTCTGGAGAAGTTTTATTCAGATTTGAAATTGGCAACTCGTAACCTTTGCTATTATTAGGGCAGTGGGTCTGAATTCCCTTCAAGTTATGTGAATTTCAGAAAATACCCAAAATGTGCAACTTGGATAGGAAACTTTTAAAACAGAATTATTACTTCTTGTGCCAAAAGAGCTGTCAAACCGTGGCATTCTAACTGATCGTAGGAGATAAAGATACTGGAATAACCATCAAAAGGCAATAAATATTAATAAAAATAAATATTCTCCTGACAACTGCATGAGAAATGGCATGTCAGTTCTTCCATGTTGCCTTCCTGGTGTCGCATATATACCTAATAGTACATTTCTTCCAGGAGGAAGGTTTGAATTTGGGACTCTATCTGAACTGGAGTTTTAAGGACTGCCATTATGCAAATAGACCCTGAATAATTGGCTACGGGACGTTGTAGGCTAAGACACCCAGTACCTACAACGAAAGGTGTAACAAGATCCAGTGACTGAAAACTAATTAAATAATTAAGCAAGGGAATTAGAAAGAAGTTCTAAGGAACGAATAACTAAAGACTGGAGAAACCCCAATGGTTGTGGAGAACTCTCTCCAACAGTGCTGGATCTTTACATTGGTGGTGGCTCTTTCTTTGAGATGAGATGAAAGTCATCCTTGAGTTACAGGGCTTTCTGCAGAAGAGTTTGATGGAAACTCAGTGCAAGGTCTGAGGGCAGAGATCATCTTCTGCAACATTCTGTGTTATGCATTAAATGGTAGCAGGCTGCTTTAATTTTTTTACAGGTATTAGCCAATTAATTTTGAAACAGTATTGCAGCCTCTGAAAATTCCCTCTATTTTCTAACCATGTTAGGAAAAAAACATAAGAGCTTAAATTATATGGTTTATCTGTCTGTAAGTCTTTGTTTTCTACCTTGATTATCGGGATAAGTAGTTGTTGAGCAGAGCATTAAAAGCCAGCTGGAGTTCACAGTACTGACTGCCTCAAAATGCCAAAAATTGATGACGAACTGTGTTTGTGCAGATGTATGGGCAAAGAGGAAATAAGAATGAAAAGCAGCATGGGAGCAACAAATATAGGAGCAAGATCAGAGAAAGCCACATTTAATTAGGAAAATCTCAGGAAACTATAGAAAGTGCTTGAGATAGATGTCGAGAAGAGAGAACATTTTGTTCCTGCAGTACTTCGCAAATAATAAACAAGGAAGAAATGGTGAAATCCTGACAGTTTCCAAGAATGAATAAACGTGGACTCTGGTTTATGTGTTTCTAGGTCACCTCTAGGCATTTCACTGAATTTCACTAAATTTTTTAGAGTTGGAAGGGACCATAGAGATCATCTAGTCCAACTCCCCTGCTGAAGCAGGATTGCCTAGAGCTTGTCAGAGCATGTTACTCAGGAGCATCCAGGCGGGTCTTGAAAATCTCCAAAGAAGGGGACTCCACACCCTCCCTGGGCAGCCTGTTCCAGGGCTCTGTCACCCTCACCGTGAAGAAGTTTCTCCTCATATTTGAGTGGAACCTCTTCTGTTCCAACTTGTGCCCGTTGCCCCTCGTCCTCTCAGTGGGAACCACTGAGAAGAGTCTGGCTCCCTCCTCCTTCAACCCACCCTTTAGATACTCATAAGCATGATGAGATGATGCATCCTTTTGTGTCAAAAGCATATTCTGGATTTTCAACTCAGTTGGTTTTGTTTTCGTTTGTTTCATTGTTTCCCTGAAATGTGCTGTCCTTGGGATTGATTCTCTGTGGGTCAGGAAGTCTGTCAGGGAATTTCAGGAGTTGCCTTACAGTAAGAGGGATGTGCACAGCCATTTGGGCTGACTGACTCAGGACAGCCCCGTGCCAGGGTGGGAAGGGACAGAGGCCAAAGCCACATGGCAGGCCAAGACTAGCCATCCTGGGTCAGTCCCCAGACACGTCCGTGGTGTCTCACTTCTTGCCAGCTTGCTGGCCTCGGAGACCATCTTGCCTGGAAAGGGTAGGTGCCATCTGAGGTGATGACATGGAAATAGGCTTCAAGATTAATTTGTTGATTAAATCAGCCGAGTCCTGGTGCTGTGCTGGAACGTCCAGGGCAAGGAGACTGGGCTGTGCCTGAGGAGCAGAGACTGGGAAATTGCTGCTCAGTATCTCCTGAGACAGTGCTCCCAACCAGGCCTGAGACAGAGGAGATAAATTTTACTGGCTTGAAGTAAATATATCTCTTTGAGGCCTCATTGGAGGATGCAACTTTTATATCGGTTGAAAACTTTGCCCACTCTTGTCTGTGACTGGGAAAGACACAATGATGCTTTCCCTTAAGACCTGTCGGTCCCTGTTGTGTGAGGGTGACATTCTGAGATATTGTTTCATCTTTGTTCTTGGCCAGGGATCTCTTCTCTTTGTGATTGTGGAAAATCTGTTGTCTCATGGTCTGCAGGGTTAGATCAAAATTAGGGCGGGCTACGTAGCAACTCAGACACTCCTGGGTCATCGTATTAGTAACAACAGCCTCCAGGGTCTTGCAGGGTTTTTGTATGGATTCTGTGCTATTAAGTGTGACCTATGGATTAGAATAAGGAATTGATAACCAGATGACTCATTGGCTGGCTGTGTGATAACCTTCCTCTTTCGTTACTATTATTTCCTAGGCTGGGGAAGCCAAAGCTCCAAAGTCCAAATTCACCACAATACTTGGCTGCACTTCCCGGGACACAACCTGCGGTGGATCCTGACATTCACCCTCCTCTTCGTGCACGTGTGTGAAATAGCAGAGGGCATAGTTTCGGATACGTAAGTGACGGGGTTTGGTGGATAGCCAAGCTAATTGCATTTATAATTGTGTAGTGCTGATGCGTGATGGGCTGGCTAGTAAGGTGTAAGGAGTTCTTCCCCCCCAAAAAGATGGCATCGTTTCACGAACTGTCCCCATTTTAATAGGATGGAAGTGAAACATTTGTTCTTAGGACTTCGTTATTCTTCTTTCAAGCTATAACTGCAAGTAAATATTGACAAAAGTTAAAGCATTTACATAAGAAAAAAATCTTTTTGTTTCTATGAAGGCCATATTTGTCCTCTTAAACAGATTTGCAGAACACTTAGAAATGTAACAATGGTGAAAAAAGACACCCAATTCACTAATTTATGCCCTATTTATTTTCAGACAAATGAAGTCACGCCACCTGCATCTCTTTCTGCCAGCTATAATGGGATTTGTGGCTGCCACGGTATCCATAGTCTATTACCATAATATTGAAACATCTAACTTTCCAAAGTTACTCTTGGGTAAGTCTAAGACTGATATTTATTTACTCTTACAAAACCCAGTAGTGTAGCCAAAGTCAGCTGGTGTAGATTGAAGTGGATGGTGAAATGTATGAGAATATTAAAAAACAGAGGTCTTAAAACTAGCATTATTGTAGGAGTTACTGCACCTTTAATAAGGTACATACTGAAAACTATTTTTTAAAATGATCACAAAAAGGAATTGTATTTCTAGCATGAGCTTTTAAGTATTTTTTAGGTATTTGTGTCTTGAGGCAAAAACGTGTCTTCATTTGAAAGGTAGTAATAATAATTTTTTATTGTAATCTGTTCACAATTTTTAATAGTAATCTGATCACAAACCATCCTGTGCAGATGGCTGCTGTTTCTCAGCATCCTTTGCAGTTGATTCTGAGATTACGCAGTCCACTGTCTCAGTCAGGAAATGGTCAGAAGAATTTGACTGGGCATTGCAGGATAACGTTTCATACAAGTATACTGTCCAAATTACCTGTAACTCAAAAACCTGAATGAGCCATTGACAGATCAAGCCAGGGTGCAGGATATAATTAAACTGTATGAACTCTTTTTCAAACTTTTTCAAGACTCTTTTTCAAAACTCTTTTTCAAACTTTTTTTCAAACCTTTCCATGTGCTCACCTGGGATGCACCCTGCTTTTTCAAAGAGGTAATATGCTATTTGTCAAGTTAAGTGACTTTCACTTCATTTTCATAACAAAGTTCCCCTGCAGATTACCTTCAGTGGACTTTTGCAGTTCTGTGAAGACCCACCATTGTGGATCTCTTTGAAGGGTGATGGCCCAGGAAAGAAAACAGTGACTTTGGAAAAGGAAGTGCAAAGCAAATCTCTTGGACCTGAGCTCCTGACTTTGCCTGGCATCCCTCATCGCCAGCTGCAGGCTGGTGATATAGAAGATCATCGTGCTTGCGTTGCACTAAAACATTGAATATTTCTGTTTGAGAGAACTAAAACATTGAATATTTCTGTTTGAGAGAACTAAAACTTCTGCAGCACTGGTGTAGTTTACTTTTTTAATATTTTTTTTTTGTTTAATTACGCATGTGCACCTGTTTTACAGCTCTCTTTCTTTACTGGATAATGGCCTTTGTCACCAAAACGATCAAGCTTGTCAGATACTGCCAGGATGGTGTGCCTTTTTCTCAGCTGCGTTTCTGCATTACTGGAATTATGGTCATTCTCTATGGGCTGCTGATGGCTGTGGAGATCAATGTCATTCGTGTTAGGGTATGTGGTTTCTTTATCAGGATCTGAAAAAAAACTATCAATAGCATCTTGAGGATGAGGATGTGATTTTTGTCCCGACTCTGGCTTTTGTCAAGTTCAGGCCCAGGTTTAGCTTAGCTGTGAATGTTTGATTAATTCTACAGAAATTGATGGGACCTGGCATCTCCTTAAAATGTATGTCCTTGATGTGTCCCCTGGACTTGGTGTGTGTGTGTGCCTGTGTATACAGAGAGTGTATACGTATTTGGATAGATAAATATACATGCATTTTTGTGCATGTAAGGGCATATGGTGTGTGTATGTAATCTATACTGTCTATGCTATGTTAATGCACGTAAGATATATATGTAGTGAACATAGAAATTAGCGTACGTTCTTCCCCATGATAATTTAAAACATAATTATATCCTTAGAATTCTTTTTTGTTATTGGTCAGATAGAGATGGGTGGTACTGACAGGCTACAGAGCTGTGTCCTCATCCCATAGTGCTCAATTTTTTGCCAGTTATGCTGTCAAAATGGAAATGCTCCTAGTTACATGCAAATTTGTGCTTACATTCAATGAATAATTTCCTTTAAATGCAGATTTGACACTGTAATAGTATTATACCTAATTTTTACTAAAAATTGCCATTAGTAAGACAATTCCTGAGCACATGCTATCTATTTTCTCCTCTCCAGAGGTATGTATTTTTCATGAACCCTCAGAAAGTAAAGCCACCAGAGGATCTACAGGACCTGGGGGTGAGGTTTCTGCAGCCATTTGTCAATTTGCTCTCAAAGGCAACTTACTGGTGGATGAATACTCTTATTATATCTGCACACAAGAAACCTGTGGACCTGAAGGCGATTGGAAAGCTCCCAATTGCAATGAGAGCACTGACAAATTACGTTTGTCTCAAAGAAGCCTATGAGGAACAAAAGGTAACCAAAGATGTTCGTGTCACTGTTTGGCCTTAGAAACTATAGTGTCACTTTGAATGGCTTCTGCTTCTATGAAATCCTAGTTTTAGGAATTTTTAACTTAGGACTGTTTGTTCCAAGGTGAAACTTGGCTTAGGAAGTTCCAATCCAATAGTTACTGTTTGGTTTTAAGTGAATTTACAGCAGGGGAGAGTTGCCAGATTGAGAGCAACTGGAAGCTAAAACCATAACAGACTGATCACTTGCTAGATTTCATTTTAAAAGTGAAAGCTTTGTTTAAGTCTTAGCTACTTATGACAGCGTCTTAAATTAGAAGACATTCTGTCCATAGTTTCAGCTGGAAACACTTGTCTTCATTTTTTTCTCTAGAAGGAGAAATAGCCAAAAACACATATCAAGAATAGCCAAAACACTGGTGGCTTGACAGTGTTTTAGTCATGAATCCAGAAATAAAGAAAATCCAATTAATAAAGGAAATTAACTTCGTCCCAGCCAGACACACTACAAAAACCATGGCTGGACAAATTCACTGGGTAGGGCAGAAGTTTCCAGAGAAACTTCTGGATGCATGTAGGCAAAACCATGGTGTTTAATTTGTGCTTAAAGGTGGTGATTTCTGACAAAAAAAAAAAAAAAAAAAAAAAAAAAAAAAAGATTTTGTTTTGCAGAAAGGAGGAAGGATTCAAGAGTCTGCCTCCTTGATTTGTACATACGTATATATCAATTCTCAAGTGAAAACAGAGAGAATACAGGCGTTCAGAGGCAACTTTGGAAAATGTAGCACGTAGTACAGAAGCATATAAATCCCATTCCTGCACACACCAGATAAACACATTTCCATGCAGCGTACGGTTGAGAACTCCGATGTGAGGAGAAACCAGGACGAGCAGCTCTCTCTTCCCAGCAACTGCTGGCACTGCAAGCTCCTTTCTGTGCCTTCTGAAATGAAACCATAATCAGTACAATCATTTCTATTTTAATAGATTTAGGTTGCTTCTCTTTCCTTCTGTAGTCGATGCTTACAGAGACTAGAGACCAAGACCCTTATGATTTAAGCAGAAAACTACTGAATCGTTGAAACTGAGCTTTTCACAAAGCAAAGGAGAAGTGCATCCTTTAGGCCAGCTCCTTAAAGAAGCATTCGATGCCTAAGGTCCTGCTTAAAGAGACCAAAGAGTCTTAGGTGCCTACATATCCTGAGGATCTGAGTGTCCGTGCCGTTCTTAACACCAGGAATGATGACATTTGTCTGTCGCTCATTTACATCTGCAGATACTTGTGTGTGCCTGCACAAGCACACAGCCCAGATGCTAAAAGGGCAAGTTTAAGTGCTGTTGCTCACATGCGTGAACGCAAACTCTCAAGGGGTAGCTTCTCTGAGGACGTATCAAGCACCTATGAAGAAGTGCATCAACGTACCATAACACGCACCTACCTTCATAAAGCTGGCTTACATCAAATGTTTTGGTTTCTGTAGTTGTCTGACGTCTTGAGATTGCCACAGCCTCTAGCACGTTTGCGCTAATATTCGAAAACAGGCTGTAACCCTAAAGTAAACTGATATTTCCTAGATAAAGTAAACCAAAGGGGCTAAAGCCAATCCCAAGAGCCAGGCGCTGGAACTTGCCGCAGCTCACTCCCGTGGAAAAACGTGTCGGTTTGTGCACGGTGGGGTCAGAAAACAGCCACAGAATTGTGAAAATTCCTCAGGCTGAAGCGTGGTCTGCAATGGGGATGAGGTGATCTGTCACTGTCTCTGTTGCCAGGGTGTATTTTACTCTGATCTTCTGCAGCTGGTGAGGGGAGCATCCTCTGGATGAAGTGGGGTTAACCCTGCCTGTGCCTGGAGATAGCTGGTCTCGGCTGTGCTCCGTGGCGATGCAGAAAGCAAGCTTCTGGGCCTGTCCAAACCCTTCTTATCACCCTTTGATGAAAAGATGCTGGCTGTGACTATGAATATTCTGTATTCTAAAATGCCTTTTAGATAGCTCATGTGACATTGTCTTGCTGTCCCTTCTGCACGGTATGAAAATTGAAACCAGCTGAGGTTCTCAAACAAATAATAGCACAAGGGAAATGAGTCAGGTTAGGTTAAGTTTTGATGACTGTTTCCTCAAAATTGCTGTTTTCCACACCTGTGTCCCAAGCATACGGGAGTGTAAGTCTGATATTAACTTTTTATAGCTGCTATATTCTTCTAAAATAGCATATTGCCACTTGTGTAACCACAAAGTCTGTGCACACTGTGTTCAACCTTTGCTTGTTTTCTTTGATGTCAGCAGATAACTCCTGAAATCCATAATCAGCTATTTAGACAGAATTGTTCTGACTCCTACCATAGGAAGGTTTGCGCACTGACACATGAGACCTAAACTAACACTTCTCAGTGACAAATCTGAATTTGCTATTCTGTTCTAGGTTTTCTTACATCTTCAAATTTTCATTGAGTAATTCTTAGTGTTAGGAATACATCCACTGCTCAAAATTCTGTAGTTAGGAGTAATTATTTCAAACCCTCAGGTAGTTTAATTTTAATTTAACTTTCATGCTACATGGTATTTTATAGAATTTTAAAGCTAGTTATCAGTAATTTTATTATAATATTAAGTAAAACAAACCAAAGCAATACAAGGCCAAATAACTGATGGTTGACATTCTAATTGGCTGTTAGTCTGGTAGTCGCTACTGCAAAAGGCATTCCAACACTTACAGTAAGATACAGGTCATTTTTTACTGGTGTTATAGATAGTTTGTGTTTGGCAACATAGTATAACACAGCATAGCATAAGAAAACAAGTTCGCATTTTTTCTTTCAAATTACAATATACTATAAAACTACAGGTACAACAAGCTCTTTTGATAATTAAGCTTACTTAAATGTGCGGTCTGAGATTTTCCCTAAACAAAGTATTGACAAAACCTCACGCTGTAGTTGGCTTTCCTTATGTCATTGGTTCTTGCTATCAGTAAATATTCTGAAAGAGGGACATGCTATATTTTCTTGCTTTTCTGACCAGTCTCATCTTACAGTATTTTTGTTGTACCTTTTTAAGAATTTAGGAGACATTCTAACTGGATAGGAGGGTTCCTTCTGCAGAATAGGCAGTTATGCACATCATACTCATAGGGTTAGATCCATGACCTTAAATTCATATATTCTCTTTAATATACATTCACAGTTTCTACTATAATAATGGAAATTTTGGCTGAAGATAAAGCATTCTTTAATAAAATTAAGAAGATAAAGAGGCCCTTAATAATATGCAATGAAACTCTTACAGCCAAATTTTTGGACCAATGTGTTGGTAGTACTTGTCACATAATCCGCCCCCCCCCCCACTCTGATTTGATCCTGTTTCTGTTGTTTGGCTTTTGTTTTGGTTTCTACACAAGCGGTATAGATGTTTCAAACCACAGACTAATGCATTATACATCACATATCCCAAAATGGATTTTGATTGATACTACGTTTGGTTTACCCCATCAACCAAAATCCCATGTAATTTTATCTGACAGTCAATAGGAAGTTTTCCCTGCCCATGGCAGGGGGGTTGGAACTAGATGATCTTTAAGGTCCCTTCCAACCCAAACCATTCTATGATTTTGACTCTTTTTGGGATGGTGCAACAGTAAATGCAATTTTTAAAGTCAAGGACTTTAAGGATTCAAATCAGAATTTCCTATACCTGCTATTCATGTGTCACTGTGGATTTCACCTGTTATGGGAAAAAAGAAATGGAAAGAAAGTATGTTAGATAGCTAGAAATTACAGGAACAGAGCATTGCCCTTCAGCATCAGGCTGACACTATCAGTTACAGCCCTAAGGGAACAGTCAGTTTTGTGTGTTGACTGAGGCGTACCTTACAGGTGGCTTGATTTACCAGCAAGTGCTGTCTCACTGCCCTTATTTCAACTGTTGAGTGAACAAGGTAGAGAAAACTACAGTGATTTAAAGGGGAGGTGACAAAGACAAGGCAAACCTAAGCAGGGGCTAGAGGTGAGAACAATGGTCCAGCTTGATAATTCATTCACACAACAACAAATGCTGCCAACCATAGCAACAAAAGATGATCCTTGTAAATTTAAACAGGATACTGAGATGCATAGATGTGTAAACTGGTTAAGCTGACATTTGTGTTGCTGCAACTCTTCCCTGTCTTTAGTACTCTGCCCAGACAGAGGTTTTTATGTGATTCTTGTGACACAGGCCACGCTTTCAACTGTGGAGTTACTGAAACATGTCAGTGATCTTCAGTAATGAATGAGTGGCGACTGACAGATCGTCCTTCAGTACCTAAATAAAGGATAGGGTTGACACATAAAACATACTATACTCTAGGCCCATAGCATTGGGCCTCGAGAACCATTCTGTAATAGAGTTCAAGATTAGAAAAAAATTCACTCTTCTTTCTCCCCCCCTTCCCCTTTAGGTACTTCAGATAATTTGAAGTCTTGATTAAAAAAGAAGAAACAGCAACAGAGATTATTAGATAGTTAAATTTAATTAGTACGTTTTTCCACTGGAAGGTAAATAGATTTCTTGTAGTGATGACAATTCTGTGAATTTTGTAGTAGTAGCGAAAATGGCTACTGAAATAGCAAAATCTTATCAAAGAAATAGGGATTTACCATTGCTATTTACCAAATTTACCATTAATTGAATGCCCAGAATAGTATGTGCAATTTTTTGCAAAAGACAGCGGATGTGTTTTCTTAAAAAGTTACCTTAGCTCCTAGCAAGCTGCTGAAGTGCAGAATGTTTATTTAAGGAGGATCATAGAATCATAGACTTGTCCAGGACGGAAGGGACCTCCAAAGGTCATCTAGTCCGACCTCCCCGCAGTCAGCAGGGACACCCCAACTAGACCAGGTTGCCCAGGGCCTCGTTGAGCCTCTCCTTGAATATCTCCAGGGATGGGGCCTCAACCACCTCCCTGGGCAACCTGTTCCAGTGCTCCACCACCCTCACAGTGAAGAACCCTCTCCTCATCTCCAGTCTAAATCTGTTCCCCTCCAGCTTGAAGCCATTTCCCCTCGTCCTGTCACTACAGGCCTTTGTAAACAGGCTCTCCCCAGCCTTCCTGTAGGCTCCCTTCAGGTACTGGAAGGCTGCTATTAGGTCTCCCCGGAGCCTCCTCTTCTCCAGGCTGAACAATGATGAGGGTAGCCCCTGTAGAGCAGTCTACCTCAAAACCCACTAGGCAAAGAATCCAGACCCTTTGGGCTAGGAAACTCAGACGAGTTCCCTAGCCACGACCCCTTGTGCTCTTTCCCTCATCAGAAGAAGCACTTTCATTCTTACCACTTTCTGAAATGTAAGTTCTAATATGTCCCCATGCTGCTTATTTCTCTGTACTAAGTGTGTTTAGACTGAACATTAGGAAGGAATTTTTCACAGAGAGAGTGGTCAGACACTGGAATAGGCTGCCCAGGGAGGTGGTTGAGTCACCATCCCTGGCTGTGTTTAAGGGACGTTTAGATGTGGTGTTGGGGGATATGGTGTAGGGGAGGACTTTGTAGAGTAGGGGAGATGGTTGGACTTGATGATCCCAAGGGTCTCTTCCAACCTGAATGATTCCATGATTCTATGATTCTAAGTGTCTTGACATTGGGTATAACCAGCCTGGCCTCATCTCTAGAAGCCCGTAAGCAGCTACCTGGCCCTCCTCTGCACTTGTGCATTTTTGGCAGCACACACATATTCTGTCTCACTGTCGAAGTGGTGTAAAATTAAAAAACAGAGAAAAGAGGAAAAAAACAAGACATGAGGTGCCAGGCAGGGTAAAGACATACTTGCTTTTCTTTGGTTAATTTGCTGGGGCAGGGGGTTGTTATTTCTGGGCTATACTTAAAATGTCTCTGTGGACGCTCAAGAGGGCTTGGCTTAGGTTACAACTTGCAGGCCTCTGTGCTACGGGAGAAATGACAGATGCTTTTTTCAAGTGTCAAAAGCTGCTGCCTGAAGCGTAAGGAAGCACTCTGCAGACCACGGGGCTGTTAAGTAAAACGCCTCTTCTTTAGGTTAAAAGTGCCTCAGAAATTATCAGAACTCCTTTGACTAGATAGAGAGGTATCTGCTGGTTGGTGGTTTAAGGCATGAGTTGTGATATTGCATAGATTCATAGAACTGGAAGCTAAAAGGGACCCCTGGCTGATTTAGTTTTACCTCCCAACACAGCCTGTTACTTTCACCTTTTTGACCCCAGTAATCAGTGATGGGTTGAAATGCGCCTTCCTGGAAGGCATCCAAGAGATAGAAAAAATCCAGATAAATTTAATTAAACTATATTGGTTTAGGTGCCTGTTCACGGTTTTTCCTTCAATCCCTTTCTCACATCAGAAGCCTTTACTGGATCAAGTGGTTTCAAGTGGTTTCACAGCTACTGTGAAAGCCAAGATTACCCAAATGAGTAAGGGCTTGAAAGGTCAGACCTTTTCCTGAGGGCGCATGTGACAAGGAGCAATGGCTATGTGCCAGCACGGTATCAATCTGTGTTTGCATTCCTATCTTCACAGGTTCAGAAAAGCGGTAGGATTTAGAGGGGAGGAACCACAGTTACCGAGAGGAGGCAGAATTTGAATTTTCTCTGAATAATGTCTGAAATCTCTTGATATGTACATGTTTGCTCCCTCACCTGCTCCAAAACACCTTTCAGGAACCATTTGGGCATCCAGAAGGGAACAAAGTGGAAGTTGCTGTGTGTAGCCAGGAGGTGTCTTCTTGGTACATTGATAGCTGTTTCTGTTTTCCAGAAAAAGGTAGCAGACCAGCCCGACCGGAGTCCCTCCATATGGTTAGCCATGTACAGTGCTTTTGGACGACCAATTCTGCTCAGCAGCACGTTCCGTTACTTGGCTGACTTGCTGGGTTTTGCTGGGCCATTATGCATTTCTGGCATTGTCCAGGGCTTCCAGAATACAACCAATAATACAAATACAACAGAAAAGGTAATCTGATAACATGGATTGAAAAACTTTGTTTAGCATTAGTTCTAGGTTCACGTCAGGTATTTAATATGTTTGGCTGCACGCTTTTATATTTCTCTGATCATTGTTGTATTATTTCATTGTTTCTTTCAAGCAAATTGTGTAATTTTTTTTTTTTTTTTTTTTTTTTTTTTTTTTTGTGAGAGATGGTCAAGTTACAAACCTGAGTAGTGGAAGTTTTTGGTATGAGTAGTGGAAGTCTTTGGTATGAATTCAAGACAGATAGCGGAGGCTTCCCCCAGTTGCCCAGCTTTCTGCCTCTTGGTAGAGTCATCCATGCAGTTCTGGGGAAAAGGAACAGCTTTTGTTTTCCTCTTCAACTGTGCCTCCTCGTTTCAGGCAGGACACCCGCTGGTGGTGCCTCCGTGATGCACCAGCAAGGATGAGTCTGGGAACTTTGCTTAATTTCTGTCCATCTGTCCAATTGTAGTTCATTGACAGATTTGAGTTCTCTGAAATCTGTTTTCTGCTGGGAAAGCCCAGAGTAGTTGCTCCCTGTTTGTGACTAATTATGCTGCTGCTTCTTGTGATGAAATAAATTGGCCCATGTGAGAAGTTGAAAAGCATCCACTGCACAAAAGATGCTATTTCCCACCTCATTTCAAGTCTCACCGAGACTGAACTTTCAGAGATCATCTCTAAGCACTGAGCAAGTTCCTAATACAGAACGTTTTCTATCATAAGGAAAAGAATTTATTAGTAGCCAGTGAAAAGATACAGGTAAAATTATTTTACTAGCTGACAGCAGAGAAGATATGATGAAGAAATTTTCCTACATCTGTCTTCTGATATGGAAGCATCTCCATGCACTTTATGCAGTGAGTATTTTGTATTTGAATGAGCAGATAGGTATGTAATGGAATAACATTTTCCCCTCCAGATAAAGCACTTGACTGTCATCACTATTCAAACATCATCTTCTTGGCTGCTCAGTCTTGACATTCATTTTCTTGACTGATGATCTTTAGACTCTCATTCAGCCATTGCACTTAAGGAGAGTTTAATTGTGCAGTTTGTCAAATAAAGCTCTTTATCATCCTTGAACCTCCACTGTTGGGTTTGAGCCACAGAGTTAAAAGGAAAAGTGCACATTTTGCTTTCAAAAATGGAGGGGAGGGGGTTGCATGTTGAACAAACAAGGTATTTTAGCTTGAAAATTTTCATTTCTGGATCTCAGATTTGGGAATCTGTACCTTGTCTGCTTCCATTATCTTTTCTACTCTTCAGTGTAGTGGGTTTAGTTGTGGGTTTTTTTAAGTTTTAATCAACATTAAAGGCTAAAGGGAAGATTAAAATAATTGGAGAACTTGAAACTACTCCAAGAGCCTGGCTTGGTGGCAGTCACTATTTCTCTTGGATACATTTCAGAATACATTTGCTTTTAATTTATGGATTTTGATAAACTTTCTCTTGGTTGTTCTTGCTATTATGTATTTCTCCTTTAAATTCTTTCTAGTTTCAATTAATGTGAATGAATTTAATTTTATGTTTATTCTCCCTTAACTCCTGAGGATTTATATACATTGATAAGGGTATCTCCAAAATTATTTTATTATTGATATCCTCAGTATGTAGACATGGGGAAGTTAGATGCAGCAGAACATTATAAGAAGAGTTTTCAAATATGCATATCTAACTGATCATGCACTTAACCAACCCTTGTTGTCTTGGGCTGCTTGAGCTGCCTAGTCCTAATATTTCAGGGGGATTTAGGTGTTTTTACAGACACTGCACCTTTTGAAAACACTGTTAGGTGCCTGAACACACCTTTTGGGTGTCAACTGCCTGTGGCAGAGGGAGGAGTGTATGGTGCAGAGAGGCTGGGGTGAAAGACAGTAGTCCAGAGCAATGAAGGAATTTTCAAGAGGGTAGATACGTGGCTTACTTTCCAATATTTCCCAAACCTTTCATCTCAGAATCAGGCTGGGTATTTTGGTAGAGGACACATTTTCTGTCTTTTTTTTTTTTTGTTGTAAGAATTTCAGTACATCCTGCATCCAGCTGGCTCGGAAATACCAAAGGAACAGTCTTTCTTGCAGTATTTTGGTACATTTGTTTCCTTTTCTGCCTGACACATAGCAGCACTGTGAACATTAAAACTAGAAAATAAAAACAAATAAAGTGATTTAAACATTTTTTTTTCCCCCAGTTGAGGCACTTAAGCCTCATTTTGTGGGAAATACTGGCATATATATTCTTAGTTTACTCAGAACTCACAGGTATCATAGACCGTATTTCTCGAAGCAATTGTTTCCATAATATGCAAATGCAACACAAGTAACTAATCCTATTTAATAAAAATATTTCCTTGCAACTTCTTTGTGGTGCATGGAATGACCTTTATTTTCTACTGAGTAGCATTCTATCCTACAAATCACCAGAAGTTTATGGAAAAACTAAAGATAAGGCAGACATGGTGATGTCATTGTCCCTTTCCTGCCAAAAACAATTCATTTTAGAACCACTAGAAGTTAAGATCCAAAGTCTTTGGAATGTCAGTGGAGTATTTAATTTGTATCCAAATGATTTTGATTCATAGGACAGTGAGAAATCTGATTTCCATAACTTTCCCATAATACCATCAATATTTTTTATTCTAATGCAATGACTGAATTTCCTAGTTTCCAGAGTCTCAAGAATATACAATCCCTCCTATGCCACTTTCATCATTTTTTCCTTTCTTTTCAGGTGAAAGATCCATCAAATTCCTATCTTTCTTCAGAGGAATTCCTCCGAAATGTTTATGTTTTGGCAGTTCTTCTCTTCCTGGCCCTTATCTTGCAGAGGACTTTCCTGCAGGCATCCTACTATGTGACTACAGAAACTGGCATCAACCTACGAGGTGCTTTACTGGTGAGCAAAGATGTTCCCGTGATCTGCCAAGAAATTCACTAATAATAGTTCCAGCTTTGTACTTTCATTTGCCTTGTTCTTTATGTGAAGACTCAGTTAACAATTGTTTGAGAGAAGATGTGCGCCGGAAAAAGTGATGTCGCTGATGTAGCCAAACTCATGGCAGCAATTCCTTTTGCCAAAATCTGAACCCATCACACTAACAGGCAGAAGTTTCAGACTCACTCCCCGCATATAAGAACATATCTTTCCAGCTGACACATAAGCGGTGTCATTTTGGCTCTGCGTCTGCTTTGTTCGTTTACTTGTGAGGTTACTTCTGCTGACTGCGAACAGAGTCATCTGCAGAGTGTCTTTGGCTGAGCTGTGTTTTACAGGAACACTGTCCATGCAGCCTGAGTGGTGATTCTGAATATTTATGCCCTTTTGCACAGAGCCCTGGGGGATGGGGCAGGAGTGATTCATCTGCAAAACTGTGTCTCTAAAACCAGCAGCCATTAACCCTCTGTGAAAGCCGTGTTTATGAACTGGAGCCAGCAGCTCCAGCTGAGCACATGGGTGGGTTGTAGGGATCTCCGCAGACCAAACTCCACGGGCAGCAGTAGCACTGTGTGCAAAACAGAAGCTGGAGCTGATGTTCTCATGAGGTTCAAGAGGGAAAAGTGTAGGGTCCTGCACCTGGGGAAGAAAAAAGTCAGGTACCAGTATAGGTTAGGGGTGGACCCGCTAGAGGCAACTACTGAAGAGAAAGATCTAGGGGTCCTGGTGGACAGCAAAATGACAATGAGTAAACAGTGTGCTCTTGTGGCCAGGAAGGCCAATGGTATCTTGGGCTGCAGAGGGAAGAGTGTGGCCAGCAGGTCAAGGGAGGGCATTCTCCCCCTCTACTCTGCACTGGGGAGGCCACAACTGGAATCCTGCCTCCAGTTCTGGGCTCCCCAGTTCAAGAGGGACAGGGAACTACTAGAATGAGTCCAGCGAAGGGCAACAAAGATGATTCAAGGATTGGAGCATCTCCCTTATGAGGAGAGACTGAGAGAGCTGGGACTCTTTAGTCTGGAGAAGAGAAGGCTGAGGGGAGACCTTATCAACGCCTACAAGTATCTCAAGGGAGGGTTGGAGGAGGATGGAGCCAGACTCTTTTCAGTGGTTCCCAGTGAGAGGACGAGGGGCAACGGGCACAAGTTGGAACAGAAGAGGTTCCACTCAAATCTGAGGAGAAACTTCTTCACGGTGAGGGTGACAGAGCCCTGGAACAGGCTGCCCAGGGAGGGTGTGGAGTCCCCTTCTTTGGAGATTTTCAAGACCCGCCTGGATGCTCCTGAGTAACATGCTCTGACAAGCTCTAGGCAATCCTGCTTCAGCAGGGGAGTTGGACTAGATGATCTCTATGGTCCCTTCCAACTCTAGAAATTCAGTGAAATTCAGTGAAATTCTGCCTGGTGTAACTAACCATAGGAATGTCATCTCGGCGCGGAGGTTTCTTTTTCCACGTGCGCGCTGTTTCAAACATTTTCTGCCTTCTCCCAGGACAAGGGGTACAGACTTGGTGAAGAAAGCGTAGCTGATTAGCTCTTTGTGCTTTTGTGACTCCCCCTTGGAAAAATGGGGACTCTTAGGACCATACGCAGCTGCTGTGATTCACCGTGGTTTGTGGGCATTTCTGATTGATTATACAGGATCTACCTTCCTCATGGACAAAACAGGGCAAAGAGCACAAATTATTTTAAAAAATTCTTTGAAGCTGCATTGTTCGATATTTGGTCATAACTGTGAACTGGGCTCACAATAATTGTCTTTAAAATTCTGGTGGATATAAGCCCTGATTAATTTCAAACCTAGTTAAGCTGCTACAGATGTAATGGATGTATAGATGGCCAGGTAAAGGAGAGAAACCCAAAGGCATACCTGCCCACCCTGATCAAAACTTCATAGCATGAGTTTGACCATCTTATCAGCAACAAGGATCTCTTTGACAGACGGTGTCACAGAACAGCAGGCTCACCAAATACTTGTTTAAAACTATCTTTGCCCAGTCTCCTAAATGTTGATGTTTTGTTGTCACTTTGTTCTATTTTAGGTCTGCGTTAAGCAACAAACCTTTTAAGAGGAATTGGAGTTTTTTAAAGTCAGTTCTCTCTCTTGTGCTTTCTCTCACTCTGTCTCCACCTCTCTCTCTGTCTCAGGTGAGAGACTGGGAGAAGGGCTGTCTTAGGTAAAGACTGATACTGCAGTTTGAAACGTCCTGCTGCTACTGTTGTTTTATAATTATATCATTTTCTTATCTTCCATTTTATTTCTTTCCCACAGGCAATGATATATAATAAGATCCTGAGGCTTTCCACATCCAACTTGTCCATGGGAGAGATGACGCTGGGACAGATCAATAACTTGGTTGCCATAGAAACAAATCAATTAATGTGGTTCCTGTTCCTGTGCCCCAATCTGTGGGCAATGCCTGTTCAGGTAGAGCATCAAAGTAAGGGCCTGATTTCAGAGATCCACCAACCTGGTTGAAAAGAGTATACGTCTGTGAGACTACTACAAAATCCAGAGGGGAACGTGGACTTCACACTCATCTGCCAGGAGGACTAACAAGCAGAAATGTGGCCCGTCATCTCCTCCAAGGGCTGGGAGGCTGTCTCTCCAAGGGCCAGTACAGAGAGAGGATTCTTTGGAGCAGGGTTTCTATGTCATGGATGTGGTCTGTGACTTTTTTGCCCAGGGAGGTGGTTGAGTCACCGTCCCTGGCTGTGTTTAAGGGACGTTTAGATGCAGTGCTGAGGGACATGGTGTAGGGGAGGACTTTGTAGAGTAGGGGAGATGGTTGGACTCGATGATCCCAAGGGTCTCTTCCAACCTCAATGATTCTATGATTCTATGATTTAAAAATTATGACCTGTCATCCTTTCCCTGCTCGTATTTCTTCCACTACTGACACAAGTCATTGCTTTTCCTTCTGCCACATGGCAGCAGCACAGACGTCTGACCAGCACTAAGTATTGCATTTGCAGTGTCCACTTGTAACTGCCTTCTGTGGCGAAGAAGGAGCAAAAAGAAATTGAATCCTGCTCAGTGACAGGCAGCAGCACTGCAGGAAGTGCTCAGAGGAGCTCTCATCTAAACAAAGCTTAGTTACTGAACACATCTGGTTCTTAACAAGGCTGGGAAAGATCTGTAGGCGGATCCGTAGGCAGGAGAGGTGAAAATTATTAGCCTGAAAAAATTCTTCCAAAGTGCTAAACAACTTAATGACCTAAGCCATGCTGATTTGCCATGAAGCTTGGGCTCCCATAGCACCTTCAGAATTTCAGCTTGGGATGGGATTGGCACGGTCCTTACCTATAGGTGATCCCACCGACATTAAACAGGTTTTAAAAGGGATAAAAGCCACTCTTAGAGTGAATCTGTTTTCCTGAAATTCCTGGAACTGTATCAGTAATCAATTAATAATAGGCACCAATATTACTACTACTAATGGAAACAAATACTGGTTTTATGTGTCTATTTTTAGGATCAAGTAGGGCTTAGAGAGTCATGAAATAATTTATGGAGAAAAAAACAAAAAAAATTTGCATAGTAACTGAAATAATACAGAGGGTTTCAATTTAAGTCACTGTTTCATATCCAGGTTTATTTGGAAGTGTTGCTGTTAATACTTTGAATGTTATTAAACTAACAGGCAGTCTGATTCCTGTAGCTAGGGAATAATTATATTTAACCTAAATTCGCCACTCTTTTGTCTCTTTAATTAAGTCTGTGACTCAGCCACTCAAATATAACGACCTTCCTCACCACGACTGTAAAAGGCTGGTTTGAGGAAGTTCTGTTGGTTTGGCTGATGCCTTAGTTCCCCTTCAGGCAATCAGGAGACAGGGAACACAGGGCAGCTTGACCATAGCTTTGTCCAGGAATGAGCATAGCATCACCCATGAGTTTGCACCTTCTGAAGAACTTGGATGAGTGAGCATCTGTGGCCTGGGTTACAGGGGGCTCCTGCTCTTAAGCTGTATCAATTACAGCAGTTACCTTATACCTCTGCTTCCACGACAAAACTGAAAGGGAATACTTACTTGCTATTTCCTTCTCAAAGTATTATGCAGCTGGTATTAATGACACCGGTGGTGCAGTAATATATCTTTCTGCTTGATCAGCTCGATTGGCTGCTTTTTGGAAAAAAAGAGGGAAGAATCTAACTTTTGGTGACTATAGACCAGATTATAACAATACCACTCTGGAAAAGGTGGTGGGACTATCCTGTCTTGCCTTATGCAAAGTACTTGAGCTTCAAGGGATGTCCCAAGAAACAGCAATTGCCAAGGCTACCCCCTCCTCAGGAGAAGGGCTTGTAGCAAATACTGCACTTACATCCTTCCAGGGTGAAGACTGCGGTAAATCTTAGAAAATAGAAATAGAAATAGAAATAGAAAAATTGTGTATCTACCAATTATGGCCTGTTATCAAGAACAAAAACTCATTGCAAGATCAGGCCCCCAGTAAGCACTTCAGTTTACCCCAAGTCAAAATTTCCACCTGTAAACCTGGACCCTCGTATTATTCTGCTAAGAAAATGGCATGTGGGTATGCTAATTGACATTACAGAACCCTGAAGCTAAGAAAATGGCATGTAGGTATGCTAATTGACATTACAGAACCCTGAAAAGCTAAATAATGCTTTCAAAATGTTGAACTCCACTGATTCTTATTTCTGATACTGTATAGGAAGAAGGCAGATTTAAAGATAGAAGTGACTCACTGAAGAGATGGCAAAAATTTAAAGTAGGGAACTAGTTCTCTATGTCCTGTTACTGAGGACATCTCTGTACCATGAAGTGGAGCTTTTAATAAAAATATTTATTTAGTAGAGCTTGCATTTACACGGGAACCAGAATCATGGTAGTTGCAGCAGAGCCATTCCCAGGTAAACCCTTGTGGGAAGTGTTTCCCAAACTCTTTGTAGGCCTAAGGTAGCATCTTGGGTTTTTTCCTGCAGAGCTACATAGTATTGATGCTGAAAGTCAGGGTTGTGTCACTCCCAGCACATCTGCATCATGCTACAGTGTCTGCCTTAGAAGTGCCTCTGCCTGTACTTGCAAGAGGACCACTACAACAGAATGCAACTGTGATTCATGACCATCCTAAGACCTTTGAATACTTCCAGAGTGAAAAATTTAAAGTAGGGAACTAGTTCTCTATGTCCTGTTACTGAGGACATCTCTGTACCATGAAGTGGAGCTTTTAATAAAAATATTTATTTAGTAGAGCTTGCATTTACACGGGAACCAGAATCATGGTAGTTGCAGCAGAGCCATTCCCAGGTAAACCCTTGTGGGAAGTGTTTCCCAAACTCTTTGTAGGCCTAAGGTAGCATCTTGGGTTTTTTCCTGCAGAGCTACATAGTATTGATGCTGAAAGTCAGGGTTGTGTCACTCCCAGCACATCTGCATCATGCTACAGTGTCTGCCTTAGAAGTGCCTCTGCCTGTACTTGCAAGAGGACCACTACAACAGAATGCATCCTAAGACCTTTGAATACTTCCAGAGTGATGTAAGGAGCTCTAGTGTAAATAAGACTTGAGGCCAGTGGTTCTGTAAAATGCCTTGGGGCAAGCACCATCATTTTAGCGCTCCTTTAATTCTGTGGAAATCTCATCTGGAATTAGGACTACCAGGCAGTAACACAAACTATGCAGTTAACGTCAAAAATAAAGGCTTCTGGGTTCATTTCCCACACTTTCCAAACGTGACCTTCTGAAGTGTGGGCTCACTTGGTTCCTACAAACCTTTTAAACTGTTTATTAGAAGAACGAGTTTTTTTTGTTTTTTTTTCTTGCTATCATTCTGGCATATTGAAATCTACTCTTTTTCCTATGTTGCTTTTTCTCTTCGTAGATAATAATGGGCGTGATCCTACTTTATAATTTACTGGGAGTGAGTGCCTTGGTTGGTGCCGCTGTCATCGTACTGTTAGCTCCAATACAGTACTTCATAGCTACGAAGTTGGCTGAGGCTCAGAAGAGCACTCTTGTAAGTACATTATTTCACTGACTTTTACGATCCAGAAATGAGAACAGGGATCCGGGGGTTCTGGGTTCTATTCTTGCTATTAGTCAACATTCATGGTGGAGGTTTGGACAAGCCACCACTTAATTCTGTTGTCCCTCACTTTGTGTTTTTCTGTGGCTCAGTGTCTCTTCCTTCCTAATGTTTGTCAGACAAGAAACTGAAAAAAGTATGTGGGCCTTGACGTGCCTTCTCCAGAGAGTATTTTCCACCCAGCTAGCACAGTTTCATCTGAATTCAGTTCCATGAAAGGGTGTTACTCCTACATTCAGATTTTGTATTTCATGGGATGTTAGCAAACAGTACGAATGACTGATACATTATAAGAGGACAGTACTAAAGAACGTGTACAACCAGCCTCTGAAATGGCTAGAGACTTTCTGCTCTTACAGCAACCTTTGAAAATGGGCTGGCACTGCTGGATTATCTATCATACATTCTTCAGTGCTGTGAGTTTATTTTGCTGTTGAATTTAGTTCACCAATTAGAAATGTTTTCTGATGCTTTGTTTAATTTTTAACTTTATTCTCGTGAGCCTTGAACTTTTTTAATCCACCTTTGATGTTTGAATCATCAAATATTTAAAGATCCTTGTTATCTTACTATTCGGTAAGCAAATTATACATATGTGGATCTAATCTTCAGTGCACTTCAATCCTGGTGAATCGTGCGAGTTTATACCAATAGAGGATTTATCTTTGCATATTTTCAGAAATAATCTGAATCTTTCTTTTTGCTCTTTTCTGAGTTCTTCTGACTCATAACAGCTTTTGGGTTACGATTTTACCAAGATGATGGTTACTGTCTTCTGGTGGGGAGCAATTAGCTAGATATATCAATGAACATCTCACTCATTTTCATGACCGGTCTGTATGAATCCCAGAATGAATCTTGTATTAGCAATTACACGCCTGTAGTCTGTCTGTTGTCACAGACACCATTGACCTACTAATCCACCTCCCTGAGTTTCACCTTCTATTTGAAGGTTTCAGATGTTTTGGTTTATTTTTCTTCTCAGAACAGGGTCGCCTAATTTCCCCCCATGATTGTAAACATTTTAATATCTCCAAAGAACATGGAATTTTATATTGCTTTACTGAATATGGCAACTGAAAGCCTGTACAAAATCACAAACAAAATTATAAATCTTTAACAATTTTCACAACAAAAGTGAAGGGAAAAGAGCGTTCTCATGAAAACTACAAACCGTTATCTTTTTCTTATCCTTGCTTTCTTTTGACATGAAGGACTATTCTACTGAGAGACTGAAGAAAACCAATGAGATACTAAAAGGCATTAAGTTATTAAAGCTGTATGCCTGGGAGCACATATTTTGTACTAGCGTGGAAGAAACGAGAATGAAGGAACTCACCAGTCTCAAAACCTTTGCGCTTCATACATCTCTTTCAAGTAAGTAGCTATGTTTTTAGCACTCAGATAAGGATCCTGTCCTTCATGTCAACATTCCTTCTGACTCCAAGTAAAGCCAGATACAGCTGTGCCTGTGACACTTTTTTGCTGTGTGCCTGTGTGGTATGTGATTAAAATGAGAAGGCATAACAAATATATAACACAGAAACAAAATATAGAGCATATCTTGTTGATCAGTTGGGTTTTTTTGCAGTAAATTTTCTGTCACCTTCATTATGACATTAAGTTATGAATTGTTTTATAGTAAGGAGGCTCTGGATAATATTAGCAACTCTGATTACATCAAAGATAAGTTAGTGTCTGAGAGAATTTGTATTTTCTCTAATGTAGAAGAGCTGAGAGGGTAATGTTTTCATTGTGTTGCATAATAATTGTGCACATAAAACTTTTTATCCTGTTCACTAAAGTATACAAATGAGATAATTCCTTGGCTTATTTGTTTGTGTGTTTTAAGATCTCTCTCTGTCAACTCTGTCATGGAAGGAAATTCATTCCAGCAGAGGAATTTTCCTTTGGGAGTTTTCATTACTTGAATTGGAAATAACTGGAATCTTCTAGTGCCGTACAACTAATTGTCAAACTGTTTTTTCTTATTTCATATAATCTGATGCCTATTTTATTTCTCTTTCACAGTTTTTATGAATGCAGCCATACCAATAGCAGCTGTTCTTGCAGTAAGATATGTTTTTTTCACTTTTTCTTATAATAAGGGGAGAGAAAGAGAGAAAGAGAAAGGAAGGAAGGAAGGAAGGAAGGAAGGAAGGAAGGAAGGAAGGAAGGAAGGAAGGAAGGAGAAAGGACAGCATTGTTGCTGTAGAACATACTCCTCATAAAGCTGGCAGATGAGTTAATGTGCCCCTTCTAACTGCACGACACTGGAAGTCTCCATTGCTAGAGCTGGTATTTCACCAGCTGTGGTTTGTATTGGTAAAACCAAAAAGAAATATAAATTTTTACTGTAAGAAAAACTCTTATTTGAAAGAAGGCCCATTTTGAGAAGCTCTCATTTTGAAGGGTTTTTGGGTGGCTTTGCTTCTATTGTCCAGCAGTGAAAATCATTCCTGTTTCAAAATGCATTATAAGCCACCATTTCAGTTTTCAAGAAAGGGTACTCTGTAGTTTAAGGATAAATAAATTTGCTTAACCCCCTCTGGCTGGGGTTAAATCTCAGCCTAATGAACTAGAGGAACTACAGCATGTGGGTCAGTAAGGAGTCTTCATAGACCAAATTCGGAGGGCATTACCCAGAGTAAGCTGAGAGCGTGTACCAGAGCTGGATGAAATAGGACCATAGTTCTGCATCTGTGAAAAAATCCATAAGATTTATTAGTTTCTTACTGATTTTTCTGGGTTGTATGTTTCTTCTAATCCCTGAACTCAATTACAAAACTTTATAAAACTAAATGCTTTGATTTTACAATATTATTTTTTTTTCACGTACATGTCTTGAAATCACTGCCAAGTTTTAAAAATCCTTTTCACTTGAACAGAAGGGAGCTTTCTCTTCAGTTTGCTAGGATTCCCAGTAAATTGAGGTTATATAAGTTATTGGCCTTAGTTGAGCAAAGTGTTTTGCTTCCTTGCCATCCTCGTCCATCTTTTTCAAGAGTCCTTCCCCTGACATGTTCTTTTCCTGATGTGACAGACCTTTGTGACTTACGCGTATACCAATGACAAGCCACTGCAGCCCGCCCAGGCCTTTGCATCCCTGTCCCTGTTTCACATCCTGGTCACACCACTGTTCCTGCTCTCCACTGTCGTTCGTTTTGCAGTCAAGGCTATTGTAAGGTAAGTGGCTCTTCTAGTTTCTCCAACTGAACACCTACATTCAATAATACAGCAGGGAAGGTGCTGGAGAAAAAAGGTTGTTTCTACCTGCTCATCTGGAAGAGGATTTAGAGGTGGGACTCCGATGTGCAGAAGTGGGAGAAAAATCAGAGTAACCCTTTCTTTTTACTGTGTGATACAGAGAAAAATCAATTTTCCCTTTTTTTTTATAATTTCACCAGGTTTGGCAGTCTGGATTCAGAGCCAGACTAACCTTCCTTGGGGATATGCTTCTCTTCTCACAGTACGGCCACCCACCATCACTCTCACTTCTTAGTACTTTTCTAGGCTCTTGTCAACACAGAGGGAGATGAGAGACTGGCGTGAAGCTGTCTAGCAAGACAGGCCCTGCTCATGCAAGGAAAAGCATCAAGCTTAACTCTACCTCCACAAAGGGTGCAATTGGGCTTTAAGTGAAAATTCGGTATTGTCCCGCCTCTCATTGCCTAGCACTAGCATGGATTCTTTTAAGACAGAGAGTGAATGGAGAAACACTGGACCAATGAAGAACTAGTTGCCCAAGGGAAACTGAGCTCCACAGGACTTGCCTTAACAGAGGAAATGCTGTTCCCCTGAATGGTAGTAAAGAGACATGGGAGAGGAAGCGTGGCAAGGGAGACAGGGGAGTTTAGTCTGTAGGGGCTAGGGATCTGCGTGGCAGGGCAGCAAGGAAGTTGGCATGAAGTCAAACAGATTTTAAAAAGAAAAGAGAAGGAACTCAGAAAATGTGTTGCTTTATCAGTATCTTGTATGTTCCAGGCATTTATTTCTGCAAATAGAAAACAACTTCCTTCGTGCTGTGCTATAAAGCACTTAATCTCAAGGGAGCCAGCTGGTAATAAGTCAGATTCCAGACTTTTGCATCAGTGGTCTGTATGGAGAGAGTCATGGTCACGGGGCAGTTATGTAGACGTACACACTGCCAAGATGTCCCAAGAGGCAGAAGCTGACACCTGACTGGCAGTAATGTGTCATATGCCAAGCTTTGCCAGGATGCGAAGACCAAACTAACCTTCCCACCCAGAAACTTAGTTACTTCTGGCCAAGACTTGCACTTTGGCAAGTTATTGCATTGCTGCTGCCACGGCCTCTTTATGGTGGGTAACGATAATAACACATGGCAGTCAAAGGGACTTCAGGCTCCACAACTATCATTTGCCAGTACCACACTCACTTTTAAAAATATGTATAATTAAATAGGGTTTATTTTTATCAAAGCAGCATCAGGGCCACATGAGAGATTTTCCCTTGGTTGAAAATTCTTTCTGACTAGAAAATCTCAAGTCTCCTTTATAAATCATCCCAGCCTCTACATCTCCGCACTATGTTTAGCGTAGCCCTAATGTCAAAATGGTGTGTACATTTTCCTTAGCACTGCTGGACACCCCTCAGGACATTATTTGAAGACCATACTTGCCAAAACAAACTTTACCTTTTGGCAAACATATTTCCTAACATCTTTCTCCCATGGACATCTTGTCCTCCAAGTGAAGAATGAAGAATGTGTGTTTGGCCACTTCACAGCTCTGTCATCAATCAAATGCATGTATATGAGTATGCACTGGATTGTGTTATGTTTAAGTGCCTACACTTTGGTCAGAATCTCCATTTTATTGCAAAGAGCAGTTCTTAGTACCATGAAAGCTTTTGGTGACACCTGTCCTCATTCAAATGCAAAATAATGGTTGATGTCAGAACAGATGATCAGAACAACGGCTCTAATCTTCTACAAGAAGATAAATTCTTGCTTGATGCACTTACATAAGACTGAAATTCTTATATGGGATTTGACATGTAAATGTTCCTTTCAAAAGAGGACAGGGACAAGTATACTGACAGGAGGAAATAATGACAATTGCAGTGCTTTCTTGCTAACCAGTATCTCTGTGGCTTGGACGTGTATCAATAATTCCATACAAAATGCTCAGGCAGGCCTTGAAATAAGACTACACTCCCATTTGCAGATTAATGTTCCAATCCCCGAGCTGAAGTCGTATGTCCTTCTGCTGTCTCAGTCTCACAATGCACTTTGCACAATGCACCTTGATTTTAGTTTTTGCACAATAAGTAGCTTCACCATGATCAGTGGGGGCTTTTGTTCATCCCTTCCTCAGAATGATAAAGAGCCAGGTGCTTACGGCACTCTGAAAGGAAGTGGGGCAGAAAGAGCACAAAAGATGAAGAATGAATCAAACCTGTACACTGAATGTCCCAGTTTGGGACAGTTTTAAGAAGTAGGCAAAGAGCTCATGCTGTATTTCTCCATGGCTGGCTATGGCTGTGCTCGTTTGTGCAGTATTCAGCCCTGTTTGCATGCAGTGTATGCAAAAGCTGTATTCAGGATACAGCTGCTGCATTGCCATTTTCAGAGAATGGAGGTGGGGGAATGATTCATTTATGCATCCTGACCGTGTGTAGGCATTAGAAAGCCACCAAAAAGAAAAGCTTGCCAAGGTGGAAACCATTCCCTCAGAGCTCTAGTGGCACTCACATGACTAGCTCTCCTCTTCATTCCCAGCTTCCAAAGTCCTTTTCCACATAATTTTTCACTTGCTGACAGGGGGGCAGGCAGACAGTCCGATAGAAAAGCAAAAGTATCCCATGAACTTCTTTTGGAACACTTCCCATATGTCCTGCTGACTGGACTGCACAGAAATGGAAATGTACCCATGGAAAGCTGGGTTTATTTAACTTGCTGTTCTGTTGTCTTTCAAGTGTACAGAAGCTGAATGAGTTTCTCCTGAGTGATGAGATTGGAGATGACAGCTGGAGAGGTGGGGACAGCTCTGTAGCTTATGAATCCTGTAAGAAGCACACGGGACTTGTAAGTTCTGTTTTATGACACTGAATTTCAAAGCAGAGAGGCACCATACAGGGCCAATGCCCTAGCTGACAGGCCTCAGGAGTTCTGGCTTCTAGCCTGACTCTAGCATTGACCAGTTTTGCCTCTTCTCTGTTGTGATTTCTGTGTTTCTATGACATGAAAGGTTCCCAAATGCCTTCAAGCATCGCTGAAGTGCCAGTAGCAATAAAAGCCCTGTAACACTCCAGCACATTAACACAGGGTTCAAATTCAGCCTTCTCAGCTTTTACAAAAGGCCCAGGTTGCATTTCCTGTGGTTGTGGTGTTTGCAGTATGTATTACCAGTACAACCCATCGTATGTTGGGCATCTTTAGGTAGGACCAATTCAAATTGGAGGTGGGAAAAGTAACACTAAACTTTGTGAAATAGGAATTAATTCCAAAATGCTGTTTCTGGAGTGCTAAGCATATAGTGAATTTGAGTAAAATTTGAAGAGGAAAAAACCCAAGGGAGATGGTTTTGAAGGGGAAAAAACCCAAGGGAGGGTCTTTGCCCATAAGCTAGCAGGGCTCATTGACAGACCTCTAAACTAGGCTTGAGGAAGGAGGGGGCAATATCAGGCTTGCCCATGATGAGCTGTGGGGTGACAGGCAAGGGTTAGAGGGACAGGGTGCTAGCGAGGGCCTGCAACCCGTCACTCTGAGATGTGCTGGCTACGCTGCAGCACACTTGAAGTCTTGCAGAGATGAGAGACGGGCTCCTAAGGTGATAGGAACCAAGAGAGATACACCAGTGAAACACCCCAAAGGAATTAAGGGATGTTCCTCTAACAAGGTGACACAGCCGAGAGCCCAGCTGAAGTGCCTCTACACCAGTGCACGCATCATGGGCAACAAAATTGAAAGCCACCGTACTGCTAGAAGGCCACGGCCTAGTTGCCATTACTGAAACCTGGTGGGATGAATCCTATGACTGGAATGCAGCTATCGATGGCTGCAGGCTGTTCAGAAGGGACAGGCGAGGAAGGAAGGGCGGAGGCATTGGCCTCTACGTCAAGAAATGGATAGAGTGTGAAGAGCTGTCTCTGAAGAATAGCCATGAGCTGGTTGAAAGCTTATGGGTAAGAATAAGAGACCAAGGCAACAAAGGGAACCTTGTGGTTGCAGTCTACTACAGGCCACCAGATCAAGGGGAGCCTATTGATGAAGCCACCTTACTCTAGCTACAAGGTGGCATCACGCTTGCAGGCTCTTGTCCTGCTGGGAAACTTGAACCGCCCTGACATCTGATGGAAAAGTAGCACGGTGAGCTGTAGCAATCCAGGAGACTCCTGGGGTGCTTCAAAGATAGCTTCTTAAGCCAGGTAATAGACAGCTTCCCTAGAGGAGATGTGATACTGGACCTCATCATGGGCACCATTGCAAGTGAGCTAATTGGTGACATCAAGACTGTGGGCAGCCTGGGCTGCCATGATCATGCACTGGTGGAGTTCACAATCCTGAGGGGAAGAGTAAAGTCAAGACCCTGAATTTTAGGAAAGCAAAATTCCAGCTCTTCAAGGAGTTAATCAATAGAATCCCCTGAGAAACTGCCCTTAGGTGCAAGGGAGCAGAACAAAGCTGACAGATCTTTAAGGATGCTTTCCTTAGAGCACAAGAGCTCTCGATCTCCAGGTGTAAGAAAACAGGAAATGAGGACAAGAGACTGGCATGGCCGAGTTGAGACCTACTGGTCAAACTAAGGGGTGAGAAAGAGATCCACAGGCAGTGGAAGTATGGACAGGTATCCTGGAAAGAATACAGGTACACTGCCCAGTTGTGTAGGGATGGGGTCGGGATGGTCAATGTGTGGATGGAAATGAACTTGGCAAGGGGTGCAAAGAATAATAAGAAGGGCTTCAATAGGTATGTCAACCAAAAAAGGAAGGTGAAAGAAAGTGTACCCACCCTCATGAGCAATACTGACAAACTAGTAACAAAGGACAAGGAGAAAGCTGAGGTACTTAACAACATTTTTGCCTCGGTCTTCACTGGTAATCTCTCTCCCCACACTTCTCGGGTGGATGGACTGCAAGGAAAGGACTAGGGGAGCAAAGTCCCTTGCACTGTAAGAGGAGGTCAGGTTCGTGACCACCTGAGGAACCTGAATGTACATAAGTCTATGGGACCTGATGAGGTGCCCAGAGTCCTGAGGGAACTGGCTGATTTAGTTGCCGAGCCACTCTTTGTGTTATATGAAAAGTCATGGTGGTCAGATGAAGACCCCGGTGACTGGAAGAAGGGAAACATTACACCCATTTCTAAAAAGAGTAGAAATGAAGACCCTGGGAACTACCAATCTGTCAGCCTCACCTCTCTACCTGGGAAGATCATGGAACAGATCTATGGATATCGTCTATCTGGATTTCCATAAGGCCTTTGACGTGGTCCCCCACAACATCCTGCTCTCTAAATTGGAGAGATATGGATTTGGTGGGCATACTGTTTGGTGGATGAGGAACTCCTTGGATGGTTGCATCCAGAGGGTGGTGGTCAACTGCTCGATGTCCAGATGGAGATCGGTGACAAGTGGTGTCCCTCAGAGGTCCGTATTGGGACCAGTACTGTTCAATAGCTTCATCAATGTCCTAGACAATGGGATTGAGTGCATCCTCAGTAAGTTTATGGACAACACCAAGCTGAGTGGTGTGGTTGACACGCCCAAGGGATGGGATGCCATCTAGAGAGACCTGCACAGGCTTGAGAAGTGGGCCTGTGCGAACCTCATGAGGTTCAACAAGGCCAAATGCAGGGTCCTGTACCTGGGTCAGGGCAACCCCCTGCATCAAGCTAGGCTGGGGGATGAAGGGATTGAGAGCAGCCCTGCCAAGATGGACTGTGGGGTACTGGTGTATGAAAAACTGGAAATGAGGCAGCAATGTGCGCTTGCAGCCCAGAAAGCCAACCACATCCTGGGCTGCATCAAAAGAAGCGTGGCCAGCAGGTCGAGGGAGGTGATTCTGACCCTCTACTCTGCTCTGATGAGACTTCTCCTGGAGTACTATGTCCAGTTTCAGAGCCTTCAGCACAGGAAGGACATGAACCTGTTGGAGTGAGTCCAGAGGAGGGCCACAAAAATGATCAGAGGGATGGAGCACCTCTCCGATGAGGACAGGCTGAGAGAGTTGGGGTTGTTGAGTCTGGAGAAGAGAAAGCTCCAGTGAGACTGGAGCTCTTCAGTATTTAAAGGGGCTATTGTGAATCTTCAGTATTTAAAGGGGGCCTACAGGAAAGATTGGGACAAACTTTTTAGTAGGGCCTGTTGTGACAGGACAAGGGGTAATGGTTTTAAACTACAGGAGGGGAGATTCAAACTGGATATAAGGAAGAAATTTTTTTACAAGGAGGGTGGTGAAACACTGGAACGGGTTACCCAGGGAGGAGATAGATGCCCCATCCCTGGAAACATTCGAGGTCAGGATGGGTGGGGCTCTGAGGAACCTGGTCTAGTTGAAGATGTCCCTGGACATTGCAGGGGGGTTGGACTGCATGACTTGTAAAGGTTCTTTCCAGCCTAAACTATTCTATAATTCTATGATTTGGGAAAAGATATTTTTTTTCATTTTGATTTTTTTTCTAAAGCTAGATATTTCAGCTGTTTCAAATTGATTATATAATTTGAAATGCGATCTGAATTAAATTAATTTGTCAACCAGAAACATTTTTCTTGCTTTTATGACTTAAGAATTGTAAAAAAAGGAAACAAAAATCAAATTGCTTCAGCATTTCTTTTGCTTCTCTTGTCCACCTTTTGCCCAGTCCTACAGACAGAGACAGACAAAGCCTAGAGGGAAAAATAAAGGTGATATCTATAAAGATTAAATCAATCACTGTAGAGCCCAGCTATAAGGAATCACTAAGATCACACCGATTCAGCTCCATGCGGTGGTGCTTACACAGATCACAGGTAGCTCTGAGTGAGCCAGCTCCGCAACCGCGATTATGCATTAGGGAGGTTCTCTGCACAGGGTAGTTTGGTGTGCTCCTCACTCCTGCAGCTATTCTGCTTCCCAGACCCAAACTGGTAACCCCACATGCCATTTTTACTGACGCAGCTTTGTTTGGAGCCACCTCAGGCAGGGCAGATTTACCTAGTGATTTGAGGAGGAGGATAGAGCTGAAATTTGGGGTGGTTATGCATGGGAAACCAAAAATCAGATATTTCCAGTTAAGGGTGTTTGAAGCATTGCAGTATGTGCATTGCAGTAGCGTGTCTTTATTGTTACATATATTAAAAAACACTTGTTTCTTCTTGTGAAAAAAAAAGGGAGCGGATCATTTGTTTTATAGGGAACCAAGTGCTGTTGTCTCTTAACAATTCCAACTTTTATCCTTTCTTCATTTCACTACGTAGCACACCAAGGCCATCAACAGGAGACAGCCCCTGAGGTATCAGCTGGAAAGCTATGAGCAGCCAACAAGGAAGCAAACACGTCCTGTGGAGACAGATGATATCGCAATCAAGGTGGTTTGAACAACATCATGTTATTCTTTAGAAGGAGCAGGTCCTCCTGCAACAGTACCATTTGTGCTGTTCTTCCAAAGGCATTGGAAAGAACAAGCACTTTAGCCAAAAACAAAGTGAGAATTCACTGCAGATCAGCTCATTATAGTGATTCCCTGTCTTATCAGGAAACAGAGGCATCATGAGTCTAAAGGAACAAAAGAGAGATAGACAGATGGATAGATATGCAGATAATCTGATACGCAGAAATTAATACAGATTTTTCAGACTTTCCCTTCATGCATTTCTATTTCACTCATAACCACGATAAAAACTTCTGACTAATTTTTTGACATCTATGATGACATATCATTTATTATGAGGTTGTTTTAAGTCATGTTGACCAACTTGTTCCCATGTATGTGCTCTGTACAAAGAATGTTTCATGGCCCTGCCAACTCCCAAGGAAGCATGCACCAAAAAGGCTAGGGTGCACTGGGGCACGTTTTCCTATGTCCGGCATAAACCTTGTGAATCTTCAATTTACACTTTGGGAATACATTCACAAGGGGCCATATATCCCGATATGCAGAGTAATTAATTCCTTGATAAGCTACGTTATTTAGGTTGTCGCCTGTGAGGTCTTGTGATTGTTAGTCTTTAATCTCATACTTGACAGCATGAAAGTATTTGGTAAATAGAGTTCAAGGTCATCCCTTTATTGCATTTCATACAGTGTATTCATTTGTGTGTATAACTTTTGTTATTGACAAACTTTTCTGAGTTTGGCGATCTTAACCAACCTAATTTGCTTGTTTTTTTTGTTTATGAGCATACCTCACCATGTCTATTAATCACTGATTTCTTTTAGTAACATATTTTAAATCCAAATTAGACATTCTACTTTTTGTTTACTTCATGTGTTTATATATCTGACATGTGGTAATTGTTTTGTAGGTGACCAATGGATACTTCTCATGGGGAAGTGGTTTGGCTACATTATCCAACATAAACATCAGAATCCCAACAGGTAGGATAAATGTACACCTTAAACATGAAATAGGTAATATCAAATTGCAACTAATTCTACTTCTTGTTGTTGTGAAAAGCACAAATCCACACATTTAGGTTTTCATAAGAAAAAATGAAGGTTAAAAATGTATGCAAGGTCATGAACTGTATTGGTCATATAGCTGTATCATTAACCTAAAGTACTATAAATAAACAAAAAATTAGATGCTTTTTATATACTTACATACTTTATATAGTTTTTACAATAGCAGGAAGAAAGTCAAGAGTGAGAATAAATATATAAAAGATGGTTTCAAAAATATTCATTATTATTTTTAATAGGCAAATTAAGAAAAGGAAGAGGGAGAATTCCAGACTTGTTCAAATCAAGAGTCCATCTAATTCAATAATTTATTTCCAGCAGTGTCTACCGGTGGATGCACAGGGACACAGCAGTCATACATTATACTTCTCCTACCATTCATCAACATTACATTCTTCCAGTTCACAGCTATATTCATCCCTGAGAATTCCTTAAGCCCCATGCAGTTTTTCTGTTAAGAAATCCTCAATAAATTTCTTTCTCAATTAATTTCTCTCGGTCTAGATGAGCTCCTGCCATTTCTTGCATCCTCGATGTCTTTTGTTTTTGTTCAGAGGTTGATTTGTTTTGGAAGACATACATACATAGCAAGTGCAAAAAGTAGCAACTTTTTCTCCTTCTTCTTCCTTCTTCTTCTTCTTCTTGTTATTGTAAAATTCCCAACACTGTTCGTGTTTCATGTTATTGAATTGTCTTGTATTTTATTTCTATATCCTATCAAGTGCTTAGTTGTGAAATAGCTTATTATGTTAGGTTGACACATCTTAGATAGCATATAGTTATGAAGAAATTCCAACGTACTATATGTAATCCCAAAGTCTATCTAATTTTTTCACTGTAGCATTAGGTTTCCTATACATGGATGAACACTTCTTTGTGTTGGCCTAGTGCAACATACAACACCAGCAGAAGGTCTTTGCTCCAAGGAGCTTACAATCTAAGGCCATGGGTTTACAAGCTGGGTGAGCCAGTCTAAAAGTTCACCTCCTTTGAAAGGAATGAGACCATTAACTCCCTGGCTCGTGAGGAGCTTACCTGGCAAATGCACTGGCTAGCAGAGTCAGTGAGTTCAGTTAGTTTATGGGAATACCTGAGAGGCATCATTGCCTCTACAGTGTGGGACTGAAGGTAGGAAGAGTAGTGGATCCTCTTTCGGTTGTAGTCACTTTATTGGCCTGAATTTCCATGGAACCACAGCCTAAGTAGTCACTCCCCACTTTATATCATTTGACCCTAAAAAAGTCAATAAATTAACATACTCCCATACAGTGTATGATAATATATGTCAAAGCAATAGTCTCATTCCTTTGGAGATTAGTGTGTACACGTGCTGTCCGTTAATGTATAGTTCCATTGATGAACACATGCAATATTGCCCGTTTATGCAATGGATGCTAACAAATTTAACCAGCTATTTCAGGTGGCTTAGAACTGGGTCTAGTTGGTCCTTGTGGACTTGAGTTGAACTGGTCTTCTTCTTTTTTTTGAAAATGTTTTTGTTATTATTACCATAGGTCAGATGACAATGATTGTGGGTCAGGTTGGCTGTGGCAAGTCATCACTTCTCCTTGCTATATTGGGAGAGATGCAGACGCTGGAGGGAAAAGTTCACTGGAGCAAGTATGTTTCATATAGCTATTAATTGCTGTATTCATATAAGAAGGAGGGAGTTGGGGTTTGCTGTGAGAAATGAAAACTTCGTGTCTCAGAACTGCATGTTAAATGATTATTATCACCCAGATCCTCTCTGGAGGGCGTTACCTGCAAACTTAGGGATTTTCATAGCTGTTCTGGTCGTGGTTTAGGTCAGACTGCCTCAGGAAGGGAAAGAGGATAGCCTGGTGATTAATAGCTAATATATTAATATACTATAATATCTAATGAATTAGCCTGATCAAATGAGCTGAATAGAAAGCATATACTATTCCTGTTATCCAGTCTTCAGTGCTGGGAGTTGGCTCTGGCTTTACAGTACTCACTGTAATTGAAGACAGTCTTACAGCAAATACCACCCATTGCCATGCTATCTCCAAACCCCCTTATGGTGAGAACAATGAGGTGCAATTTACTTTTGTTGTGTTCCATCAAGGATGTTTGTAGTCTAGTAACATTTCAGATTGTATTTGCAACTCAGGTTGTGCGAATGATGAAATTCCTCAAGAAGCATCGAGGGGGTGGGATAGTTAATGTGTAAAAGGCAAAACAGCTCTGGTTTGAATTCCTATCTGGATTATTAAGTCAGCGTTGTTACTCTGCTACTGTACACAGAATCACAGAATCTTCTAGGTTGGAAGGGACCTTAAAGGTCATCTTGTCCAACCGTCAACCTAATTTTGACAAAAAGAGACACCCACACAACAAACAAGAAGCATCACCATCACTAAACCAGACCTCCCAGCACTTCATCATCCTGTCTTTTGAACACCTCCAGGGATGGGGCCTCAACCACCTCCCTGGGCAGCCCATTCCAATGCCTGATAACCCTTTCAGTGAAAAAATTTTTCCTAATATCCAGCCTGAACCTCCCCTGGCGCAACTTGAGGCCATTTCCTCTCGTCCTGTCGCCTGTGACTTGGGAGAAGAGACCGACCCCCACCTCTCTACACCCTCCTTTCAGGGAGTTGGAGAGAGCAATAAGGTCTCCCCTCAGTCTCCTCTTCCCCCGACTGAACCCCCCCAGCTTCCTCAGCCTCTCCTCATAAGACTTGTGCTCCAGACCCCTCACCAGCTCCGTTGCCCTTCTCTGGACCTGCTCCAGCACCTCAATGTCCCTCTTGTGGTAGGGGGCCCAAAACTGAACACAGTACTCGAGGTGGGGCCTCACCAGTGCCGAGAACAGGGGGACAAGCACCTCTCAGGCCCTACTTGCCACGCTGTTCCTGACACAGGCCAGGATGCTGGTGGCCTTCTTGGCCACCTGGGCACACTGCTGGCTCCTGTTCAGCCCACAGGCCACCAACACCCCCAGGTCCTTTTCTGCCAGGCAGCTCCAGCCACTCTGCCCCCAGCCTGTGAAAGCATGACAGGCTGGAGCTTCTTCAGTAGTGGAGTACCAGCATATAGGAAAGGCTGTCTTTCCCACTCAGTGATGATGCTGCTAGCAGAAAGAAAACACAAAAGGTGATATAATAACATGTGATCAATGCTTTTCCCCTTCCTTGACGTCTGCCCCAGCCTTGCCTATGGAAGTCAGTGTTACACTTCCCAGTCATACGTTCCAGAGGCAGCCTGAGAACACCAAATACCTAAGGACTAAAGGCTATGAAGAAGCTGTTGCTGAAGAGGGAACTGCCAGGGAGGTCAGGCCTCGGATCCACATGAATTCAGACCCAGTGAATGAGAACTTCCTACAGAAACTAAGCGGGCCAGCAACCACCCTTCCAACATAGGCAGGGCAGAGGCTGTGGAAGGGATGTGCTGCAATCCCAAGACTTGTTCTTTGATTTTAAAGATCAGTTCTGTTTCCTTAAAACTACCAAGTCAAGCTCTTCTTAATTAGCTGTTAATTAGGGTGAATTTTGTCACAGAGACCAGTATCTTGTTGCCCCATCCCTTGCCTAGTAATTTCCTTCATCATCTTTTTCCTACAGCAATGTTGCAGGCTGGAAATTTTTGCTTTTCTTGTGTTAGTATGCAGGGCATTTTTTGTTCCCCAGCCATATTTCATTGTCTGCTATTTTAAACGTATGATCTCACTGGAGTAGCAGGTACGGTTGGAGCCAAGGCAAGACTAACTTTAGTTTAATTATATGTAAGTTTAAGCTTTGAAGGAGGAAGAATATGTGACTTACCAGTATATTTCTTTGAGACGTATAATGAAGATTTTGACTTCACGATCAGGCATTTTTTTTTCTGAGTAGTTTAAGAAAATGCTAAGAGTAGAGTGTACCTTAAAATTATTCACACAGCTGTTTTGAAAGGTATGTTTGAGAAAGAACTTTCTCAACTTTGTCCTAGAGAAAGATATGGAAGATTAGGAAGATTAGACAAAAAGAGGAATATTAGAAAGATACTAGAGGCAGGTTATGAAATATTATTGATTTCACATTGTTCAAGAGGGATTAAGATCGTATTGCCGATTGATTAGCTATCTGTGCGTAACCAAACAGGTAACTCAGGTTTTAACCAGCATCTCAGGCCTTACTGAGTGACTTTTTTCATTGCAAACTGTAATTTGGTACTGTGGTATAGCTGATGCAAACATGGTTATGTTTTGCTGGTAATTTCAGACTGCCTGGCAGACAGATGAATACAGAAGGATACGTCAGGTATTAACTAAGAGGATCCTATTCTTTGCAAAACCATAATGAAGATCCTATTTACTGTTTTAAAACCTTTTCCATGTGATTCCACGTGCATGACTAACGCAGCTACTGATCCAGGGGTGAAGTGCAGGCTAGGTGAATTCCCCAACAAATTCAGGTATAACAGCACAGTAACAGTAACGATGGGTCTGATTTCAGCCCCAGTTATATTGGGGTAATCCTGCAGTGCCTCGCTGTGAAACCCCATCGTGGGACTTGAATACCCTGTCGCTGTTGTGGTGGTCTGCAGTGAGAGCTGTGTGTCCTGCTGCTGGCGTTGTCACTGGTCTGGGACCTCAGGAAAGAAAGCACATTAGTGTATCTTTCTGAAAGAGATCTTGGCCAGGGCAAATCTTACGGGCGAGATCTCAGCTCTTCCCGCTTATACGAGACATGCTTCAGATACAGTACAAACCTTAGACAAGGAGCTGGCTTTTTGTTTTCCCAGTGAGCAATCCTCTTAAACACTGAAGCAAGAGGCTATTCAGATACAGCTGAGCCTCTTTCAGGTCTGAGTTATTAAGTCTGTACAGGAACAAGTGTGGGGAATATGCAGAGACATGTATTCCCCTCATCCACACCAAGCCAAACAGTCAGAAGCATCTTCCAGACTGCTAAGCAGAAGTGGAAGCCCTTCACTTGGTATAAATTTTCTGTACATTGAACTGGTTTCTGTGTAAACAGGTTGTTGTGTACTAAGTGAAAAGCATGGGAAACAGAAAAATTATGAAATAGGTCCTCCCAAACGGCCTGTCCTGCCCGCAGGCTATGGAAGGCTTCAAGAAAAAATAGAAAAAGTCAGTTCTTCCCTCAGAAGGGTATAACTGCTTAACAAAAGGTTGGAACCACAATATCTCCTAGAAAACACTGAAGGGAGTTATCCACAGATGGGTAAGTGATCAGCCAGATAAATAGTAGCCAGGGTCAGCATACCTACTCGTGCTGCTGTGCTGCAGGGTTGCAGGGACGGGAATAAATCCCTCCAAACTGCTGGATAGAATCTGTGTAGATTCTTGGTCCTTGTCTTGCCTCAAATTTCTTGCCCGTATTAGCAAAAGAAATGGTCCGTTCTGCTGTTACAGTGATATCCTAAACATTTTGTATCCCTTTTTTCTCCTCCATTTTCATTTTGTAGCCTGAGGGAATCTGGACCTGGTTAGAGATGCATTAGTCTATTTTAAAACATCCAGAGTTAGCATAAGAGTTGTCCAAACTTCAACAAGGTTTCTTTTTTACTTTTCCTTAAAACTGAACTAAATACATTCTGACAGATCAGTTTGTATATTCAAAATCTTATAAAAATATCTAATCAAACCGATAGTTTGTTTTTTCCTGCCATTTCAGACTTGAACTCACCATGCACCACTTTGGGGAATACGTATATTTTATAGTACAGAATAAAAATCAGTATAAATAGCCACATTGGAATAAATAAAGAATTTACAGCAAAGATTACTAATCCCAGTGGGCAAATAAGGTGCTCTTTTGGGAAATCTCAGGAGCTTCAGTTTCAGCCCACTCCCATGCCCTGCAATTGCATCACGCTCTGAGATTCAGTAGGGTAATGAAGTACGAGACTCGATACTTAATCCCCTTATTAGTGAAGGCCCCAACTCAGTGAAGGTCTTATATATGTTTATTCACGAGATTATTAATTGAACGTGGGTTCTCACGGAAATCTCATGCAGAATTTGGAAGAATGAAATGTATTTGTCAACCTAAGCATGGAATGAAATTTCTAGCTAAGGAAAATGAGTTTAAGAAACTGAGATCCTGAAATTCATCCTTGCTTATTAGATCACATGTTTGATTATAACGGCAAGCATATTAAATCTGGTACGGAATTGCAAGGGCTCTTGCAAGGCTTCTGCCCAGTTTTTGTTAAACTGTACTTCAGAGGGCAATCCCAAATGTGTACATGAAAGCAATATCCCTTTCTCTACCACTGCAGTGCTCTGCTGATAAAAGTTTGGGGCGGGTTAATAGAGGAAACGTAGGGTTTCTTTTTTCTTTTTGTTTGGCTTGACCTGATTTCCAGCCTCTTTTTAAACTGTTAGTAGGGTCCATCTGTTGCTTTCTTGTAACTTTTTTTGCAGAGAAGACTGGAAGCTTCTGCTGAATAAAGGACCAATTCTGGTGAAACATTGTCTGTTTTGAGCCTCAATTTATGGCTCACTGACTCTTCTGACATAACCAACAGGGCTTATTCACTTCTGATGTAACATCTTCTTGGGAAACAGGTGCACGAAGGAAACACTGGTTGTTCTTTTTAGGAGGTCTGAATTATCAAAGTTCTTGGAGAGCTGATGTGCAGCACAGAAAGCAACATGTCTCAGTTCTGGCATTTTGGGAAGATGCTTAATATGTGAGTCTGGCATCATGAGGGCTCTACTATTAAAATTTTTATGCCCCTTGCCAGTCTTGGATCATCTTCTTCTGAGTGCAGCTGCGGTTACTGATATCCCAGCAGGCAAGCAGACATTTCTGTCTTGGCAGTAAAATATTTCAGCTGGAGGATTCATAGGATTGGGAGGGGAGGATTTGTTGGTTTGGGGTTTTTTAAAGTCAGGCAAATAACACATTAATATCATTTTTCTAGTCCCCTCTAATACCATTTCTAGTCCTTTCTAATACCATTTACCTGGCATAAACTTACTCTTTAGGTTTTGCACTTTGCAGTGATGTGTCCCCATGCCTGGACACAAGCACCATTGCTGGTCCAGAACTGCTTTGACTGCCATTCCATGCCCTCGACACTCTTGAGAAGTCCATTAACAAACAAAGGGAGCTGCAAAGTGATTCATGTCATTACTGCCATTGCATGCTCTTCAAAATGTAACTTCATGGATATGATCCTTAAGAAGACAAAGAAAAGCCTATGTGGTGTTGTGCCCTGCATGGCTTGATGTAGCCTTACTGCTATAAACGGGTTCAAAATCTGTTCAGATTCAAAAGTGTGTTTGCCAAATCATATCTGCAAAGCTTATCTTTGCTCCAGGAGAAATTTAACTTAAGAGTAGTTACCAACTTTTGCAGGTCATTGGTGGAACTGTGTGGAGAAGCTAACACTGTTTGTCAACCTTTTATATGCCCAGGCAATATTAATAACTTCGTTTTTAATAGGTTTTATAATACACTTTCTAACAACTTAGCTTGCCTGTTTAGCCACTATGAACTATAGATATGAACCCCTTGTATTTAGAAAAGTTATATACTTTTAATTAGATCTTGTTTATTTTCCCTTTAACAACAAAAAACCCAGTGATGTTGAGGTCTTAAAATATGTACTTAATTCTGGTCACCCTGTATATAAAACTTGCACAAAATGTTATTTTCTATATTTCCTGCTTACTAAATGGCATTTACCATAATTTACAGTGTAAATGAAACCGAACCTTCTTTTGAAGCATCCAGAAGGTATTATTTCTGTTTTTAGTGTATCATAACACACTCATTCATTTCTTCAGAATTTCCTCAAACCTTCATCTTTGTACCCTTCAGCCATCTCTGTGTTTTCTTACCCTGTCGATAATCATTTACTGTGGGGTTGACTCACAGATGGTGTTAAATCCAGTGGATCCCAACCTTCTCCAGCCATTGTACCACTACCTCGGTATTGTCTGAAAGATGTTCAAGCACTCCCAGCTCCCCTTTGGGGAGTTTAGTGTGCTCCATATCTTGCCAGACAGGGCCTCTAGATATAAGATATCATTACATATACCCTCCCACGTGTTGGCATGTTTTCTCATCAGCAGTGGGGTTTGTGTTGCTTGTAACCCAGCTGGATGGATGGCTGTGTGATGGAGCAGGGCACGCAGCACGCAAAGGGAGCCAGCTGTGCTCCGGGTGAAGTCAAACGGTGTCTCCACTGGCAGGGAAAGGGCCTGCAGCTTTAAAAGAAGGACAAGCTAAACCCAAAACACATGGCAAATGATAGAGAAGTAGTGGCACACATAGCTGTGGTTGGGAGCCACGCCGTGATTTGCTACCTGATAATCCTGAGGGGATATTTCATACTAGCGCACACTGAACTGCTAAAACTCCTAAAATTTTTGAGGTACTACTGACTACTTCTAACCAGCTGTTTCACGTGCCCTAGCACCCTCTCTCTCTCAACAGCAGATCCTAGATGCTTACATACAAAGCTGTATCAAATGTACAGTTTGAAGCAATAGCATCAGAGAGGCTGAGAAGCAAGATCAGTGTTCAGACCCGTAGGCCAGCGCCACTTCCCACCTCCTTCCTCACACATTGCAGCAATGTCAGAAAAATGTCTGAAATTACATGACCCATTTTTGCCCTACGTAAGCAAAACAGCCAGAAGCAAAGAACTTCATACCCCTATTGTACACATTTCATTGAAGTTTAAATATACACATTTAAAGTATGTCTAATAAATAGTTGGGAGATTGCAGTGATTCCTTCCCAATCTGGATTAAACTACCCTCTTTTCCAATATCATGTCAGTCCACTGAGGATCTTAGACTTAAATAAACTTAGACTTAAAGGAAGTAAAATAGACTTAAAGGAAAAAAGCATTCACTGAGAAAAATGTATTTCCTGTGCACATCAAGTAAAATAACCTAAAACTTCAGAAAACAGCAAGTCAAGTGTCCTAATGCCATTTGAACAGTGCCTTTTCACTACTTGTTTTGGTGTTAGAGAAAGAAATGCCAAGTAACTACTCTTGTGAAAATTTAATAATTTTGATTATTTATATTTTGCCTCTGGATTGAAACTGCAGTTACTAAATTGTGGTAGGTACCAGCGATTTATAGGAGAACAGAATACAGTCTGGAGCATAGATTTTGCCATCAGGGGAGAAAGCGGGTGCTGTTCTAACAAAAGCATCTCAGTCAAAATTATTCACTTTTCTAACAGTTGCTTTGCCTGTGTGTTTCCTTGTATTGTTAAGAATGCACATTCATCAAGTTAATTTTTGAAAAACTGACGTTTCATAACAGGGGTTGCTGTGCTTTTCACTAATGGTCTTATCTCTCTACAGCAGAAACAGATACTCAAAAGTTGATTTTTGAAAAGATGACGTTTCATAACAGGGGTGCTGTGCTTTTCACTAATGGCCTTATCTCTCTACAGCAGAAACAGATACTCAGTGGCTTACGCGGCTCAGAAGCCCTGGCTGCTGAATGCAACTGTGGAGGAGAACATTATCTTTGGGAGCCCATTTAATAAACAGAGGTAAGTATCACCCTCCTTGCAAAAAACACCTGGCACCTTCTTTTAAAGAGGTTTTTTGGCATCTGCTTCTGGAAGAAATCTGTAGATTGTGGAAAATACCAACGCACGTTAACCCTGAGCTGGAATAAGCTAACCTGACTTTAGCCATCTCCATGGAAGGTTTCTGGTTTAAATTAGTCTTTCAAGGCTCCCCCTCTGACCAGAGTGCATGTCTAAGAGGTTTGTAAGAAATCATGCAGCGACAGTGGCTCCCCATGGAATACAGCAGTGGTTTTTTTTCAAGCAGCTAAAGTTAGGTGAGATGGATCCCATCTTTGGAGGCTCCTGACTTACTTTTGTTTTGTTTAATGGAGCCTGAAGTTGCCGGAGGTCTCTGGAAATTGGGATTCTAGGCATATTTCCACTGAGTTTATGGGCTGTGATCGAGTTATTGGAGCAGCCGCTTTACAAAAACACCGCATGCATGAAGATGGGGTGCCTCAAGGAAAGAACCTTAATTCTTCCTTTAGAAAGACAGGAGAAGGGAGTGTGAAGGATGAGGTGCACAGCTTCTGTTGTGCCTATCCAGCACTTGTTTCTTGTGTCCTTCTAAAAGGGTCAGCTAACTGATGCAGTGGAAAAAGTGACTTGACTTAAGGAAAACAAATTGCTGATGTTTTCAAAGGCAACTCTCTTTGTTTTCAGTTATTAAAAATACATCCCATTCCTCTCCGTGTGTGCTTTGTTAAGATGTATAACTCCATTCCCACTTAATAAAACTTAGCAATGACCAAATATCTCAAAATCCAGATAAGCATCTAAAATTTCAGGGACCAGATTCTGCATCCATCCAGCTACTGCATCCATCAGCCTAATTTCACTCATATCAAAGGGGCAAAGCTGAATTTCACCACTCAGATAGTCTGATCCCAGCTGCTTATGAGCAGATCAGCTGTGATACCCCACAGACCTAGAAATCACAACAATTTTCAAGTTTTTACAAGTGGTTTCCTGATTCTGGCAAGACCAGAAGCACTGTAAGGATCCTTTGTCCTGTAATAGCACACTGAAGTAAATTAAGAGGCACCTAAACAGGGAAGAATAATAACTCATTGGAAAATGGCTTCAAATACTCCAGAGCCCAGCAAAACAGCTCTGTGATAGGGAGGAGTAATTTATGTAATTGCATCTTTAAAAAGTAGGCTTGCCAATAAAGACCTCTAATAAATATGTCATTTTTTGCAATGCTTAGTTTACAATGCTCCGTGATTAATTGCGGAATAATCGTTTTGCCCTACTTATTTTTGCAATTGTATTTGACAGAGCCACAATAACAGTGAATCAGCGCTGGAGGTTTTTATGTTAGCAAAGTCAGCGACTGGTTAAATAATGGCAATGACCATATTGTTTTTACAGGTACAAAGCTGTTACAGATGCATGCTCTCTGCAGCCTGACATTGACTTACTGCCCTTTGGTGATCAGACAGAAATTGGAGAAAGGGTAAATAATATGAATGCTTTTATGTCTGCTTAGCCTGTGTATTAAGAAGGCATTCTCTGATGTCACTCGGACAGATTTAGTCTGTATGGGGCTTCCAACCTGCTAAATAATTGTAATTCACCAAGCGTTGCTGCAAAAAGAAAATTGTAAACTTTTTTTCCTTCTTCAGCTGTTCCCAGATGCTATGTTGTATTGATGCTAGTATTGATTGCATTTTTCAATCTAAGAGGCCTACAGTACTTAGAGGAGTTCTTATATAATTTACACTTACTCATGATCAGCTGCTGAATAATCATTTTTCTTCTGATATTATATGAGGATTACGTTTGTTTGTCAACTGGATTAGCATTTTAACAAAGCTTTTGTTTTTATTGCAACTCTGTGTAATTGTAAAAAATCACATTTCCAAAGTCCTATCATAACGTTTATTCAAGATGCATATCTCTGATCCATTATATTCATTAGGGGATTAATTTAAGTGGCGGCCAACGACAGAGAATCTGTGTAGCTCGAGCACTCTATCAGAACACGAACATTGTCTTCTTGGTAAGATTTTTCTTTTTCACATGGAGTATGGAAAGTTAGTAATAAAACTGTCATTCCTTTTATTTAGCTTTAGCAAAAATTATGTTAGATTTAGAAAAACTATAGGGACTTGTGTTCAACTCCACATCCAAGTTATAGAGATAGAAAATAAACATCCACCAGATGAAGCAGCATCAAAAACGTTCTGGGAGGTGAAGGTGGGATTTCCTACAGGGATTGACACTGGAAGAGCAGAACAGATTGTCTAACTTCTGCTCACTCTCAGTGGTGACCTAGTGTCAACATAGTCCCACCAAAATCAGCAGGAGTTCTGAGAAGGAAAAGCACCATAATGCAACGAAATGGCAGCAATGAACAGATTGAGGGTTCAGCAGTCTCCTGCAGGACACTGTGGACTCAGACAAACTTTCCCTTCTCTGCTACTGATTTCAAGATATGTCAGGAATTTCAGGAGGCTGCTGCTCAGGAAAGGGTTGTTTGAGCCTCCTCAGAATGAACTTCTGTTCTTGGAGAAAAAGTGTTTGCATACTAATATACTTAAATAAAATAATATTGTCTTATTGGTAACCACACTCACTCAAAGTGAAGACCAAACACATCTGCAGTTTAGTTGGAGGAAATTAGAACAGTTCCTAACTCTGCTTTGTTTTTCCTGTGCCATTTTCCCATCGAAATTGGGCCTAAGCTTGGCTCTGGATCCTGGCATTTTCAAATTTGGATGGGAAGTTTCAGTTCTGGTGTTCCTGATATGGATTACTCCACACTGTCAGTGTGTCACCAGCACTGCGCACATCTAAAGACTCAAACTTACCTGAGTCCATTGCTATGAACTGAAGAACGATGGATTCTAGCTCACTGTTTCGTAGTGCAGCCCTCCGACTAGGTCTTAATCATTAGTGAAAGATGGAATGTTAATAATTGCTGCTGCTTTCTAATCTTTTCTCATTTTTCTTGAAAGAAAAATCCTGATTTTTGGTATCCTGTTCTTTTTCCTTTTTTGTTTATTTTTTGTTGTTAATTTGATTTGATTGCAGGATGACCCATTCTCTGCACTAGACATTCACTTAAGCGATCATTTAATGCAGGAAGGAATTTTGAAGTTTCTCCAAGAAGACAAGAGGACACTTGTTCTGGTGACACATAAGTTACAGTATCTACCACATGCTGACTGGGTAAGAGAAGGGATGCCATGATGCAGGTTTGCTCATGATGGACATACACTTGAAGTTAGCACCATAATGCTTGACCAGATCACTATTTTTCTCTATAATAAAGTCCCTCCTTCTTAATTCCACATGTCATGTGGCTAACTGCAACTCTACAAAATATGGATTTTGTAGTAGAAGGAACAATTTTATTTTTACATTATTTGTGTAGTTTTTTTGATTGGAAGCCACTGGAGAATTGTGACCTAATTACAACTATGACTGTTACTTGTTATGTCTTGTCCATGTTTTTTACAAGTAGAGATAAAGCACGGCTTACAGGAGTTTTAAGTTTATGAGCTGTGTCAACAAACTTTAAAAGTGATTAATCAAATACTGAATACAGTGAACACAGAAATTTGCATAATGGTAAATCTCACCAATACCGAGATCCAATGTCTTGTAGGCTGCAGGTCAGTGCTTTTGGTATGTTGCTGAGTTGATGTGTTGGATGCTGTGTCCCCTAGATCATAGCAATGAAGGATGGAATGGTGCTTAGAGAAGGGACACTAAAGGATATCCAAAACAAGGATATTGAGCTATATGAGCACTGGAAAACTTTGATGAATCGCCAAGATCAAGAATTGGAAAAGGTAAATAGGAGCATTTGGGCAAGGATGACCTTTCTGAAATGAAATACTTTTCAGTTAATTTCTAAAAAAACAAACCATGTCAGGATACAAGTTTTAAGCTAGGCATTAGGGAAAAAAAAACCAAACATGAACTGTGAGGAACTTTAATGACCAGAATGGATTGTCTAGGAAGTGTGTGGTGTATCCGTCATGGGTGGTTTGTAAGGACACGTAGGCAAAAACCCTTTTGGAATGCTGTGCACAACTGATCCTCTGCTGGGGCAAGAAGTGGACTCAGGCATATCCTAAAATATCTCTTAGCCTTTTATTGTGTTATTGCCATGAGCATTTAGGATTCTCTAAAGACTATTTTGGAAGTTTTTATCATCCCAGAAGAGGGAGAATGAAAGAATGGAAGAGAGAGGGAAATAAATGGATAAAACAGGATTTTTTGAAAGATACTGTGCTTTTCCTTCTGTGAGCTAGATGATCCAGATAAAGTCTCTTTGAGGTTATTGTTGGTGCTGCCGCAGTGGCAGACAGCTAAGCTTTATTAATAAATACGTTTCCTGTTACAGGATATGGAAGCTGACCAGGCTACTCTTGAGAGAAAAACCCTCAGAAGGGCCATGTACCCACGAGAATCTAAATCACAACTAGAAGATGAAGATGAAGGTATGTATTATTATTTCACTTTACTTACTCTTTTACCATGTTTCATTGCCTTTCCACTTGAATAGCTGGCAGTTCATAGCAAGGAAGTACAAAGATGTTAATGACTCTTGGTAATACCATTGTAAAGACTAATACTTTGATCTGTTTACAATCTGACTTGTTTAAGGGATTCTTCATAGATTTCTCTAAACATTGGGTACAAGGGTGTACCAAGACAAGTTAGTCTCTTTGCTAACTCATACTGCCTGGAGGTATTGAGAAGTGAGAGAGAAGTAAAACCACAGTAAAAATTGTAATTAAAGTAAACCGAGGTAGCTTTGCCTAGTCATTGGCATAATAATGTTAGATCAGCTGTAGCCCTGTCCCTCATGAGGTATCTGTTAATTGTCTGCTCTGGGATTTTGAAATACCACCCTGTGACCAAACTTGTAGATATTTTCAGTTCCTTTTTGGATATGGAGTTAACTTGCTATTTTTCTAGCTGAGGCGATTTACGGAAGAAGCTTTAGGCTTTGTTCTCAAGCTTAGCTTCATGTTCACTCCCAAGTCCTGTTGCACCTGTAGAGATGCAGATCCAGATTCACATCACTTTTAAAGTGGGTTGGGTCCAGAATGGTAGGATACTGGAAGATGGCAACAAGACACATCACAACATCCCTTTTTAATTCATTTTTAATGTTCAAAATCAGAAACTAATGGAAATGCTGTTAGTTCAGGGCTGTCAAGACAAGGTCAACATTTCTCTTCCCCAAGTGCAGCCTGAAAGACTGTGAGATGTTTATTCTTATTACCTGGAGAAAAAAAAAAAAAAAGAATTTAAATGTCATGCTTATACACCTATGAAATATATATTTCCCATAGCAAAAGTCTTCCACTATCTGTATTTCAGTATAATGTGAGCAATTAACATTTGATCATACTTACTATAAACAGCCAGTACTGAAGATCTGACTTACAAAAATATTTTATTAACAAACCTGTAACAAGTCAAAGACTGAGGGTTTGAGGCTATAGAGTTGCTCAAAGAGCACAGGGAAGTCTTTTGAGAATACATCTGAAGTGTTTGCTGGTTTTAAATGGCAGATTGAATTTTGCTATTAAAATTCAAAAAAAACGTCAACCAAATCCAGCAAAACCAGCTATAATTCTTAGTCCTGCATCCAAGCTAATATGATCAAATTTCTGAGTCACAGAGGAAGAAGAGGAAGAAGATGAAGATGATAATATGTCAACTGTCTTGAGGCTCAGGACAAAGATGCCATGGAAAACTTGCTGGAGATATCTAACCTCTGGAGGATTTTTCCTGCTCTTTCTGATGATTTTCTCAAAGTTGCTGAAACACTCAGTTATAGTGGCCATAGATTATTGGCTTGCTACGTGGACATCCATGGACAATACAAATGAAGTCGGGAACACTGATGAGGTTACGAGCACAAATAAGGTGGGCCATATCTTGGACCCTGATGGGGAAAAAAAAAAATATGTTCTAAAGTAATTATTTGCTGTTCATCTAGAAGCCAGCTAAACTGGAAAGACAGCTATATATAGTGAGATTGATTATTATATAGGATGGATGAATTGTTTATGCTAAAACATAAGAGAAATCAAATTTTGTCAGTCTTTTCAAACATGCAAAACTAAAAGAGAAGCATGTTTGAGGTTAGAAAAATTATTGACTTTTCAAAGGAAGGAATCTCATACTAAACTTCTTCATGTGGATCTTTTAACACCAAATCAGTGACTCCGTTGTCCACATTACTGGCTGTCCAGTAATATCCTGACAGAAAAAAAAAAAAAGAAGTTTTCAAATGTATTACTTAAATGCAATATGCTTACAGCTGTCAATTTGACTCATAAACAAATATCTTACTGGAATCCACTTAGTAAACTTTCAGAAGGCTTAAATGTGTTATAACCCTGGCAGATTAGTTTAAGATTTGCTCTGGGAATTTCAGTGGCACTTAATTAAGTGGAACTTTCCAACATCTCCCAAATGCCTTAATTCTTGAGAGGTTCTACTTTGGTTTTCTGAATTTCTTGGCTAACAGTTTGCATACCTTTGTATTTGTCCAGTTAGTCTATCTTCACAGTTCTAAGTACTATCACTTCAAGGTTTTGAAGGGTACTGATCATTAGGTTGAGGGATCTTAGAACTTCAAGTTCTTCTAATTATGTGAACTTAGTGAATTGCAGTTCTGTCATAGTTTTTTAATTTTCCAAAGATTCTATTAATATAATTATGTAATATGAGTGATGTCCAGGTTCCTTGGGAACTTCCTAGTAGAAAAGAGAAATGTGTGTTTATTTGTAGGATTGATGTATTTGTCATTTTTTTAGACTTATCATGTAGCTGTCTTCAGCATCCTCTCTGGAGCAGGGATTGTCCTTTGCCTCATCACATCTCTGACTGTGGAGTGGATGGGCCTCACAGCAGCCAAGAACCTACACCATAATCTCCTCAACAAGATCATCCTTGGACCAATCAGGTACAGCAAAAATAACATTCCTCCTGAAAAGTTATGTGGTCAAAACCTGTCCTCTTTGTAACTGGGAGGGTGCTCCTCTGAAAAGCTCTTGTGTTTGCCCTGTTTCCTTCAAGACGTCCAAAAATGAAAATAGTCAGTGAAGTAATCAGGGGGGGAAAATATTCTTTGTCAGAACATGTGAAATTCTGTCCCCTTTTTATCTGGCTGAAACACGTCAGATATCTGACACCCCCATCAAGGCTGGGGTGTCAAGGCAGGCCTTGAGTGTGCAGTTCTAGCTCCAGGGCACCTGGCTCCAGCTCTGAGCAATTGGCAAGGTGTCAAATGATATGTCTTCTTCTGATGGCCAGGGACAGGTTGTGTGCTCGATAACCACAGTCTCTCCCAGGCAGTCAGCTGAAAGGATGCCTCCGTAACAAATGCAGTTATCAGGGTGCTTTCATGAAACAACTGAGCCCTGGTGGAGGAGGTTGACCACCAGCCAGGGGGACAGGTCTTTGGAAGGGATCTGAAATCTTGAGGGACCGTTGATGAAAGAGCAGGAGGCAAGACAGTATGTTTTTGTAAGAGGAGACTTAAAAGTTTTTTGGTGCCAAGAGAAGCCAAGAGAAGCATTGAGATAGTCGGGTTGCAGGCATTATGGTCTGTTTCGTTGTTGATAGTTATTGCTTTGATTTAGAAAATGGCTGGATGCAGCTCTGTATTCTGTCTGATCAGGCTTTTTATCCAAAATTGTAATTCCTTTTCAGGTAACTTTTTGTTTTTAATTTGTTTAACAGGTTCTTTGACATGACTCCGTTGGGGCTAATTCTAAATCGCTTCTCTGCTGATACAAATATTATTGATCAGGTAGACGTATCAATATATTCTGTTCCCTTACATCTTGGCTTTGTAAATTTTCACTTAGCTATTGAATAAGATGATGTATTAAAATATCCAGTAGAGAGAGGCATAGCAAAAACAGGCTCTGGGAGTGATAATAGACAAACTCAAAATAGAAAGTACATGTATGTGTAGCAATGAGCGCAGATAATCACTAGAATAAACATCATGGGAGATGGTGACTCAGTTTCTTCATATGCAGACTGGTTGCTTCTGTTGGAAGAACTGGATTAGCAAAACACCAAATTTTGGGCTCAAAACAAGAAACAGGGTAGAATGTAATAACTTTACCTATATGGGAGTACACATGAGAAATAGATAGTCCATCCTGGCTGTAGCACATATGAATTTAGGCCATTCAGGAAGAGGAAGGAATGCTTTCACTATGGCTGCAAATTAAAATGTTTGGATGAGCAATAATCCTGCATGTAAGGGTGGTGGAAACATGGAAGGAAAATTATGAGGCCCTAAGAAAGAGCATCCTCTTTCTCTAAATATTTGGGATATCAAGAACAATCTTCTTTGTTGCTTGTTATATAAATGAGGTGGATATAGCTCCTATTTCCCCATGATCTTTGAAACCCTGACCTCTAGAAAAAAACCCTACTGACTCCTTTTTTAACCTCTGCACGTTTGAGTCCTAGACCCACATAAACAAAAAGGCTTCTGATATAAGGAAGAGTCTCAATGAGTTCACAGTGGTGTCATTCCACTTTCCCTACGGTCCTCTATAGGAAAAGGCATATGATGATACTACCAGTACCTTTTGCCTTAGGTTTGTTTTTTGTTTCACCCTAGCACATTCCTCCTACCCTGGAGTCTCTTACCCGGTCCACCTTGCTCTGCCTGTCAGCCATTGGAATGATCTCCTACGCCACTCCATGGTTCCTTGTCGCCCTCGTGCCTCTCGGGATAGCGTTTTATTTCATCCAGAAATACTTCAGAGTTGCTTCCAAGTATGTATTTTAAAAGTTTCCCGAAAATTTCCCTCTCAAAAAAAAGGTATATAAGAATTGTGATGGAATGTGAGGTTATAGGAGCTAGTGTAAGGGGAAAACGGCCACTGCATCCTGATTTTGGTCCTGAGGAATGAGTTTGAGACACACATCGGAGGATGTTTCTAGCTGCCGTGACGACAAAAGGGGTGTTTGGGGAAGTAACACTCGGGTTTGTGATGGAATGTGAGGTTATAGGAGCTAGTGTAAGGGGAAAATGGCCACTGCATCCTGATTTTGGTCCTGAGGAATGAGTTTGAGACACACATCGGAGGATGTTTCTAGCTGCCGTGACGACAAAAGGGGTGTTTGGGGAAGTAACACTCGTTGCATCACTTTTGTACACTGTTGGCTATAGAGTCAGATGAGCATGAAGTTTGTTAATCGACTGAGCCAGCTCGCATCTGGTCAAAGCTCCTCTTTGACCTTTTGAGGGTTAGTAGAGAATGGAAAATAACTGCCTGGATTAACGTCAGTCACGGCTTTTTCTTCATATTGGGAAAAAAGTCTCCACAGAAAATCATTTCCATTGTACAGCAACATTTATATTCAGAATGGCTTGCTGGCAATAAAGAGTACATTTTTTCAGCAAAAGGAGTGTCACGATTTCTTAAAGTCATTCTACTAGTGTTAAATCCATTATATAATTTAGTAAAAGATCTTAAGCAAGCCATTCGAGGTTTTTTTCTTTAAGTCAGTCAGTCATGCTTCTTTTTTTTTTATTTTATCAGCCAGGTTTCTGGACAGATTTACTCTACTTTCTGATACTTGAAAACACCCATCCTCCTGCAGGAGGCTAAAATAACCTTAGCAACTGTCACTTCTGGCTCTGTCTTTGCAGTATGCGCATTGCAAAGCATTAACATTATTAATTAGCATTAGCATGAATGTAAATTAAAGTTTAAAGCATTGCAAAGCATTAACGTTATTTATTAGCATTAGCATGAATGTAAATTAAAGTTTGGTGGCATCCAGTCAAGAGACATGGTGATTTTCAACTGAGCATTCCAGTACAGTTGGCTTCATGGACAATACTCTTATTTAGGTAGCCTGAGAAAGAAATGTGTCAGTTATTTCTCTTAAATCAATGGAGCAGGAGGTGCACAGAGCAACGTATCCGTAACTTAGCCTTGCTTTAGCCTACTTTTCATCAGATTTCCCCAGAATCTCCAAGGACATTGATGCCTAAGAAAACTCTCTAATCAGAATTCACAAAACAAAGATGTTTTATTCTGAAATAATTTGCTTAAATTCTCTGAGATTTTTCAAAATCTTGTTCTTTCCCCACCAGCTTTCCTAACTAATGCTGTACATGGCAGTACACCAGGTCTCAAGGTGGCTAAGGAATCAGGAGACCTGGTTTTAATTTTGATTCTAATTCTTAAAATGCATGATGGTCTTCTGAATCTTCTGAGTATCTCCCCGTACACATAGCGGTTTTACACTGTTGAAACTTCTTACTTAAAATATACAAGAGTAGGCAAAATCTGATATATTAGACCCCAGGGAAATACTACAGTTTCTGTCTGTGAGTTTATATGTGAGAGTAAAGTCTCCATCGGTTTCCAAACCTGGTTTTTCCCATGTGCTGTACCAATAGCCATACCCTGCAAGCTGCTGAGAAGTTGATCACCCCTTTAGGTCAGCACCAACACACACATGCACCCATTGGCTCTGCAATTGCTGATCTTCTGCAAGTCAATAACTACCTCATTAATTTGATTCCCTTACATTTTTTCTGGGAAAATCTGTATCTGCAGTGCTTATTTTTAAAAAAGTCTGTTGGAATTAAACTCTTTTAAATCACTTGTGAAGCATGCCAGGTTGACTTGTGTTCTTTCAGTCCACAAAGAAATTAATAAATCCAATTTATTTCTAGAAAAATAATCTCAGGAAATGTAGGATAAAGGAGTAGCTTCAGCCTGTATTTATAACTTACTTGCATGCAGTACCTTCCAGGCATACAAGCTTCACTAATTTTTAGAAATGTAAATATTTACAGTATTTCTTGCAGCACTTTGATTCTTTGTTGCATTTTCCATTACATCTCTCAAAAACTTCTATGTATTTTCCATCATAAATTTGCAAGAGCATATTTATCATCAAAACATAAGCAGCAAATTCAGTTGTGTATACTGGAACGTTCAGCATCATGGGGCAGTTCTTTCTGCTGGCCTATCTAATGCAGTGGGCAAGCACAGTAGGATTTTAATAAAGAGTTTAAATACCTAATGATCTCTCTTCTGTTTATACCAACTGGCTGCTATGCCAATGGCAGAGTGTTACAGAAAGATGTATTTGTCTCTGTGGTTTGGAAAACGTTCCTGTCTCAGGAGACTGGAATTTTTTAGACTAAAATACCCCTACCCCATGCAGGTCTTGAAAATGCCGTTGCTGAATAATTGAGGAAATTTCTCATTCATATTATTTCTCTGTCAGTGCTGTCTCTATTTCAACCACTGTGATGATGTTAACACTACAAATAGTAGTAGTTATAGTTGGTTATGTTTTACGTTCAGCATGTTACATACTTACGGGTACTCAAAATGAGGCAAAGTTTATATGGAAAAGCACCCTTTTTGTTAGCCTGGCTGATACACTTGCAATAAAATAAACGTGCAGATACACAAACTGTATTTTAAACGTGATTTAAGAGCCACAAATAACACGCTATAAAGTTTAAAATCAACTGTTCTGAATTTGATTATACTAGTGGTACTAATAAATCAGAATGTTTGAGAATAAAAAGTAATTTTAATCTGGCTGAAATGGACAGCAGGTTTTTATCCAGCAGAGACAGGATAATGTCACTATCGCTGTGGGACAAAGAGAAGCTTAGCTGTGACCAAGAGCTAGATCATGGAGGTGGCTGGGAGGTGATTCAAGGGCTCCTATGGCAAAAGAAAAAGTGATATTCCCATGTCAGTGTCTTTCTATACTATAGAAATACTGGTTTGTGTGATCCTGGAAAGAACACGTGCGATACAGAAGCTGTCTATTCCTGTCTGGTATGCAGGAAAATGTCTACAGACGGAGGTGTTTACATTGTAATGGCTGCTGTTGTTTTTCATGCTCCCAGGGACCTCCAGGAACTTGATGACAGCACCCAGCTACCTTTACTCTGTCACTTCTCCGAGACAGCTGAAGGCCTTACCACCATTAGAGCATTCAGGTCGGTAAAATAAATGATTAGAGGGAGGCTTGGGTTTTGGTCTGGCCCGTGCATCTCGCTTGGAGCATGTCTGAGGGAAAATTATTGGATTTGGTGGACTTTAATGAAGCCATCTCAAAAAGGGAAGAAGTTTTGTTTTCCATGCCCCTAAACACTTGGCTTTGCTGTGCCCCCAAACACTTATGCGTATTTCCAATAACACACTAATTTACCTGTATTGGTTTTCTGCTGAATTAAAGATGATGACATCTTTAGGATATGGTATTTAAACCTCTAAGGTGTCTAGTTTAACCATGCCTTGCTTGGACAGCAGGGAGCTCCTCTTTGCCAGGAAGGTACAGGGACCACCCCGGGTATATGCTACAAGCTGTGCTATCCTGTGTGCCCCTGAATCATTTCTGCATTTCACCCACCACTCAGGCAGGGAAACATCATGGCAGGGCTCTCCAGCTGAAAGGCAGTGTGCACCAAGGGAGGCTTCCCAAGAAAACTACGGCAGAACAGAACTGGATCTTAATAGTCTAAAATCTAGCCATGTCAGTCAAAATAAAACAACACATTCCAGTAGCTTCAGAGAATCTTTCCAACTTTCCGTGCATATATTTTTTTTTTCTCTACTTACTACATGAAATACAGACTGAATTCTCTTTGCATATTCACTACATTGACATGACACTGATGACTCTGTCAAAGTGCCAGCTTGATGTTGCTCCCCAGTTAAGCGTAACTTGCGCTCATTCTGTACACTGCAGCGTTTCAGAGGGGTGCAGATCTCACTGCAGTGCTATTTACACACCTATCCAATCAGTTTAAGACTGCTTCAGCACTTCCAGCTAGCTTCAGGGCCTAGGCTGCTCGTTCAGAGTGCCCCAGTGAGGACTGTGGCAGGAGAAGCCAAAACGTGGCCGTGTCGAAGGGATGGCTGGCGGTGCTCAACGTGAGATGCTGTAACAAGTTTATCGACCAGAATGACGTGTTGGAGCAGTGAATCATAATTAAGGCCTGATGCTGATGGCATGCTGAGTGCTTCTTGGGATGCTCAGAGTGGCCTTTCATCACACTATCTGCTGAGAAAGATGAAGGAGCTGAGCACATCTTGGGAATCGTTAGGCTTTTTTTTTTGCCTTACTAAACAGCGATGTGGGCTTGGGTGGCAGAGGGCAAAAGGCAGTGCTAGGGAAAGAGTGGGCATCATAACCACCACTTCTTTTTTTCCAGGAACTCTGGTGCTAATCTAAACCATTTCATTTCCCTGTCTGTGCTCCACTGTCAACCAAACCTGAAGTCTCCGGCGGTTTTTGTCGGCGAGCTCGTATTTACTGATAGTCCCGTTAGTCATTCTCTGCAGTTTGAGTTCAGTATGTTCCAGGATAAAATAGAGCAGCTCCTCGCATAACTTACCACAAAGTAGCACAGTTGGATTGGAACGCGATTTCAGTGACCTTTGCTGTTTGTCATCTGACAGGATAAAAGTCTAAAACTGCCCAGAAGATGAGCTGGACGTGGATGAAAAGATACAGATTGAGCACGTCAGATTTTCCATTAGGAAAACTGGAGTTCTGCTGCCAGAAAGGCAGACAAGCAGAATATTCAGTGCATCTTTGCTCCTCCCCACGTCATTACTGTTGTCAGTTGTTGTTTTTGGGGATGTTGCTTGCGATGTTTACGGGCTGTGAAGAGGAAAATAAAGGATCAGTGGGAAAAGGAAGGGGAGGAAAAAAAATCATACCTAAAGTAGTGCAAGGTGCCATGAATTTAATACATTTACACCAACAGAGATTTCCTCCTTCCCTCCCAAAGTGTACCTCCGCTCTTAGGCGCTCCGACATCCTTGCACTGTTATTTAAATGAACATGGGAAGAGAGAGAAACAAGTGATAGTGAAAGCACCACTCGTGTTTGTAGTTCAGAAATGGTCACTAGCTCTCCCTCCCTCCTTGTAGTTGTTGGAGTTGCTTAGGCAATGGGTGACTGGCTGAGGAAAGAGCTGAGCAGCTGAAAGGTATTGATCAATCTACAGTCTACATTAGTTGAAGCCTTAGGGATGTCGCTCCTGTTGAAGATTCCTGCAGCTGGCCAGGTAACTGCTGAAATCAGCTTTTAAGGTGGCAGGTGAGGCCTCTGCTCTTGCTGGTGAGGAAGAAGAGAGGGGCCACAGCAGCGCTGGCCCGCGGGAGGCCTGGAAGGCTGCAGCCCCCACAGCCTGCAGCCATAAGCAAAACCTGTCCCATTGCATCACCTTTAGGGGACAGGCTGAGATCCAAAACCTACTGCAATGTAATTGCGTGTCAAAGAAATTTCTCCCCACTCTACGTGTTGCTCTCCCTGGCTAAGGGGAGCCCCCGACAGCAGGTAACAGGTCCTTAGAGGAAGAGTTTCTAACCCAAAGTTTGGCAGAGAAGGGCAAAAAGTTTTGGTATGGGTGGAGGGGAGGGAGAGAAGAGTTTAGTGCTTCATCCTTCTGTGTATGAGTGTGTAATGTGTTCTAATATAACAACTTTGCTCTTGGCAGGCACGAAGCCAGATTTAAACAACGTATGCTGGAGCTAACGGACACGAACAACATTGCCTACTTATTTCTATCGGCTGCCAACAGATGGCTGGAGGTCAGGACGGTACGTTCAGTTTAGTTCCAGCCATGGTTTTGAAACCTTGGAAGCAAACAGAGACTTTGCCTGATGCAGAGAAGATAATAACGAGAATTAATCTCGCGATGAGATTATACACACTGTTCCTTAAAATAGATCAGGATTGTTTATGTTAAGCCCATAGGGTTTTTTCAGCTTTCTTGGCCAGGAGTAAGAAAAGACAAGTCTCCCTCGTCTTTTGCTGTTGTGATGTCTAGCGTCTGAAGAGAGAGTGCAAGGACAAACATTTACATAACTCGAAATAAGGCTTTCTCTACTACTGTGCAGCATCTGCAGACCTGCTGCGGCAGAAACTCCTTTCAAAGCAGAGCACAGCTTTTCAGCAGTGGTGTGACCTGTGCCATCGTTCTGCCAGGCTGTTGTAGGCACCACTGAGCTTCCAGGTCCTGAGGTCTCTCTCCAGCAGCAGGTTTAATCCCACAGCTGTAATATAAACCCTTCCTTTGCAGTGCCCTTAACTGCAGCTCTGAGGACATACTGTTTCTGGTTTTACTGTTCAATATCACGAAAAGATGGCAGGACTAGACTCCAAGTCAAAAACCAAATGACAATAGGGCACAATGCAGCCACTGTCAGTGAAAAGGGGGCTCTCCAGGGGCAGCACATGAGGTCTGCAAGGCAAGAAGAGGCAGACAGGCTTTTGTGGGGGCTCTCCAGGGACAGCACATGAGGTCTGCAAGGCAAGAAGAGGCAAGAAAAGTCACTGTGATTTCCTTATTCATCTGACACTAAAAGATCACTGAATAAACACAAGAAGTGACCTGATTCTGCTAGACTCAAATAGTAACAGGCATGATTCATCCTCACATCAACCACTGTATCCTCACCTTCACTGTCTGGCGCTCTGGCGGAGCAGCAAAGCTGTGCTCCATTTCTGATGATGGCAAAGCTTTCCCGTGTGCATGAAGCTCTCAACTTCCTACAGCATCCAAGATCAAGCTGAACTTGCTTCCAAATCAAAGACAGATAAATAACAGAGCAACAGCCAATCCTGGAATAAGCAGTATAACTGCCTGTTAATGTCTCACAGTCTTAGAGTTGGTTACACGCGGAATGAATTTGATCCAAGTGTATGCATCACTTAATCATAACATTATAAATAATGTGACATTGCCAAGGAATAGTTCATTTAGCTCTGCCTAATGGCACAGTGGTACTAAGATCACTCAAAAATCTGTAGGGTTTAACAGCATCTGTGAAGTCCTGTCCCGAGCACTGATGGAGACTCGACACCATTGTGCTTCTGCTTCTCTGTAGATGTAAAGCTCAAGTCTGGTATCTGCTCATCAACACTTTTTGCAGAGAGACAAAGTAGACAATCCTCGTTTCAAATCCCAGAGGGAAAGATTCCAGGCAGGGTATTATCAGACAGGAGGAAAAAAATGGATGGAAAATGCTAACCCTGTAATCCAAAGTAAACACAATGCAGGGAGCAATGGGAGAGTGAGAAAGTCAGCAGTCTCATGAATCAGGCACCTTGACAACTACACAAGATCACGTGGCATTCATTTCAAAACCGAGGTCCAAGTCAAGAAGATGAGTTGAAGTGCCTGCAAAGCTTCTGAGAAGTCAGATCTTTCTAATACAGCCTATACAGCAGTTTCTGTAAAGCAAGTCTTCACCATGCAACAGAGCTGAGATCCCTCAGGTATCTACCGTGGAGTCACTCCAAAACTCCAAGTGCTGTGGCAAGAGCAAGGCTTACTAGCTTGTTTGCAGCACCACAACTACACAGCTACACTGCCTTCAGAGTCTACACTAACACATGGTGTTTCACTGCAGGCTGTGAGTGTTTAGCAGGCTTGGGGATGCCTTCACCATGCACAGTGTCCCGTTGCATGATGTAGACACTTTTAAGTCAGTCTGCCCGCTTGTGCCCCTAAAACATGTGCGTTACCTTTGTAAATTCTACAAAAATTCTTCAAGGACTTTGTCAAGTCATTGATACTTCTCTTTTTTGGGGAGGCAAGCCCATGTTTGAGAAGACCTGAAGGGGAGTGGAGAGAGTGGAATTGATTTGTTTTAGTGGTAGGAATTAGGGCTGTCAGTATTATGCCATTCTTATGTTTTTATTACTTTTTTAATATGCTCATTAGATTTTTTGATACTTGCTGGTTTTGGGGTGGCCACAAGAAGATACCCTAGCCCAACGGGATTTGCAGAAAACGCTGGCCTGTTTCACTTGTGTTCAGCAAGTTCATTTAGAATATTTCAGGTTGGGCACCAAAATCCCTGATCTTTTCCAGGAAAAACAACCCAGATCTAAGGACCAAGTGTCATTATAGAAATAAACCGTAGTAAACCAAATGTGCTCTGTGTCTGAAGGAATCTTCCTGTTGCATTTTTAATGTTGTCTGAAATTTTTCTCTCCCTCCCTCTCGTTCCAGGATTACCTAGGTGCTTGTATAGTTCTGACTGCGGCTGTGACGTCCATCACTGAAGGGCCTAACTCAGGATTTGTGGGGCTAGGTCTCCTGTACGCTCTGACGGTATGTGGGCAAGGCAAAGCTTAAGAACTTTCAGACCAACCTATTAATTTTATGCTAGTTTTAAAAATACACGCGCATGGTTATCTTCCAGCTTTCTTAATCTCGAAAAAAAACAATCTTGCAAACAATGGATTGGAGCCAAAGTTGAGAGAGTTCAGGGCAACTTGGACTGGCTTCAGGTTTTATGAGCCAATTAAAAAAACACAACCATTCCCAGGCCCTGCGTGCTCCCAAGCAAAGCAGGAAAATTAAAAGTGCGTAAGAGGACCTGCTGTGCACTCTGTTTTGCACAACCCAGTGTTGGTTCCTCCTGCGTGTGGCAAAACCTGCCAGAAAATACTATCCCACAAACTGCCATAACCTGACTAATGTTTAACCAAAGACCAAATAAAATAATTGCTGAAGAACCAGAAATGCCAGCTCTACCTTTGGAAGGAAACTACTCGGATGTCCAATATTGCCCACGAAATTCTGAATTGATTTGGGGATTGGGACCTTTAGGGCTAAGTAGGCATGGCTCGTCATGACAGGTAGCAGTAAGAAAGCAGTGCATCATGAGCACAGAGTATGACCAGCACAGAGAGTAGAAATATCACCAAATTAACAGTGAGGGTGGGGACAAAAGCAGGATGGGGATAATGGCAGGAAGAATTTTTGAAGTAATATCTGGCCTGGCGGAAAACTGGCTGCTTTATGGCACTGGTCTGGGGGGAGGCCTATGGGTATGGGCCTGACGCTGAGGTTTGGCTTTGCACGTAAATGCTGGCAAGCCCGTGGTTGCAACAGAAAGTTCTCAGCAGCTGGCTTAGCGTGGCCTTAGATCCCCTCTGTGCTGCTGTTGCAGCACCGTTGAGAGTGCCAGCAACAGAGAATCAGTCCCGGCCCTTCAGCTTCACTCTGAAAACATTCCTGTCATCCTGCTTCATTAGCAGGGATCTGGAAGCGCCAAGATAGCTGCATCAGCTTTGGCTACTTTGTATTTAGTCTGTGTTTGCAAACAGCTCATTAGTGCCAATTAAGCCATTCGCTGAAGTCTGGCATAGCAGAGGAAGGAATGCGGCGGTCGCCAAATGATTACTGTCTCTGTCCTGCCCCTCAATAGCACTGATGAAACTTTGAATGCAGTTAGATCCTTACCTGGGTCCCCTGACAGTTTTTTGTGTTGTTTCTCTTTTGGAGCTGAGAGAGAGGCCTGATGTTTGGATGTGGATGAGAGCAAACTGCTTGTACCAACATTGTGTTTACAGCAGACATCCATAAACTAATTCTCTCCCCTTGTATAAACATGGCCAACTCCCTTGCCCAACTGCAGTGAAGGCTGAAATAATGGGTAGAGCCTTTCGGATGCCAGGCTCTGTTATCAAATCTGCCAGATTTGATATCAGATTTGAAATCCAGCCTGCTACTCTGCAGCAGCACTTCTGCAAAATGTTGAGCTTATCTGCAAAAGTACCCATTTCCCTAACTTCCTGACTCAAAAACTGGACATCAAATGAGCGGGTTTCTGAATAACAGATAAAATACCACCCCCTAGAATAATTCTATCCTAAGGATAAAGCAAGCAATTAAATCCTTTAAATTGACAACAAATGTTATTGCTGAATCCCAGTGAAAATTATTTACTGTATGCCCATTGCATCAGGATTAGGTTAATGGAAAAGAAGTGGGGCGGAGTGATTTATTCATAATAAACTTCTTATTTGGCAGATTCAGCAATGTCCCACAAATAAATGACAAAACCTTTCTCTCAAGGTGTTTGTGTGTAGGTTGTTTTTAAGTTAAGTGTATAAATCTTTATTCAAGCATGTAAAGTATCTCAATTTTTAAAGGTGCTTGGCAACCAACTGTTCCTAATATGATCAGGTTTTCTTTTTTATATGAGGTCCTAAATACAGACTTAGGAGTGTTTAGGAAATTTCTTGACAATTTTTGGCCTTAAATAGTCAGTTCTGACTAGAGATCAGTTTCTCTAAGCTACTGGGTATTGTTAGAGAACTAATTTTCAACTATTACCTACTCCAAGTAATATCTTTACTATTGATCAAATCCTTCTGATTACAAATGGGAATAAAAACCAAGAAGGAAATATTATTGAGCTGAGACGCTCAAAAACCCTCACATTTTGCATGGAGAGAAATGAATTATCTAAATATGCACAGAAGGAAACAGAAGTGGCATGCCCATCAACTCTCTTCAATATATTTGCAAATCTTTAGTTGCTGTCTTTGAAAGATTAGAAAACACAGTATTTGCACGCAGCGCTTCTAATTTTGATTTTGTGTTCTTAAAGAACATGCCTTTCACTCCGATTATTAGATTCTGAGGACAAAGAGATTCCCTTAATCAGTCACATCTTCAGACATTAGGTACAACCTTTCCATATTTCGCCTTCCAAAAACAAGGATGAGAATACCGAGCACTAAATTACTGTGTCAGGAATGTTTCTGTTGGAGTATGACTGGCTTATTACGTATTTGATGCTGTTGCACTGAGTGTTGAGCTGTTGAAACATCAATAAGAGACCCACTGTGCTGAGACAGGCCAAAGACTTTCACAGATTTATCCTGCCTTTATTCACAAACAGGTAGATGAACAGACAGAAGGCTGAACTTTGTTCTTGTTTTCATTTTGTGATGCAGATAACCAACTATTTGAACTGGGTGGTGAGGAATCTGGCTGATCTAGAGGTGCAGATGGGTGCAGTGAAGAAAGTACACAGCTTCCTGAACATGGAGTCGGAGAACTACGATGGCTACTTGGGTACTGCACTCTAATCTTTTTGGTTTTTAATGTGGTAATGAGAAAGCATGGTAGATTTGGTCATATAAAATTTTGTATATATAAATATACATATACATATAATACATACACACAATATACATATAAAATACACCTCTTTGCTCAAAATCTGTTCTCATTGACATGTAGGAACTCCACCAATCTGAGTGACAAGGGTAGTCAAAGGAACCTATGAGTTTTGTAGCCCACGCTACTCAACATTAAAACTCAACATTAAAAAACCCTCCCCTTTTGTACTACAAAGCTTGGCTCTGTAGTACAATCAGAAAGTACCAGGGCACAGTTATAGATGGGATGAACAAAACATCCATATTCAGAAAATAGAAATATGGATACAAATTAGAAATGCCCTACCAGTCACATGTGTTAGAGCAATTAGGGTGTACAGGATGGGGGCGCATTGGCAATCGGACCTCAGCAACTACACATTCCTGTTCATACATGGTCTGGTGAGAGGTGTCCCTGCCCAGGGCAGGGGGGTTGGAACTCGATGGTCTTGAAGGTCCCTTCCAACTCTAACCATTCTATGATTCCGTGATACTCCACATATTTCAAAGTGGCTTTGACTGGTATTTTGGAAGTGCTTGAAGTGCAAGGCCAAAACACTCGCAGGCCAGCAAGCTTCCCTGGAAAGCCAAGGCCCTTAGTCTGGAGACAAAACCTGCCTGTGTATTTGCAAATAGGGATGAAATATGAGTTGGGATAATGTCAACAGCTCCTGGTGTACCACAGTAACAACATCCTTCATTGCACTGCCCTTCCTGTGCCGGTTACTGACCGAAGAACATGTTAACACTGAGCTGACACCACATTCTTAGCTGCTCATTTGGCTTCTCCCCGTTTTATTGCCAAGAGCCACTTTAGCATCTTCCCCTCTCGTCTCATGTGTGGAGATCTGGAAGCTAAGTGCCCACCAGGCAGTTCCCAAGTGCCCCCTGGCAGGAAACTGGGACTCAATTTCTTGAGTGGCTTCAGGAAGTTGCCCAGGCAGGAGAGAGGGGGAAATGGGCATGTCATAAAAGGTAACCCTCTGATAGCATTCATTGTGGTTTGCTTTACTGTTGACTATTTCAGATCCCTCTCAAGTCCCAAAAGACTGGCCCCAAGAAGGTGAAATCAAGATTGAAAATTTGTGCGTTCGATATGAGAACAACCTGAAGCCTGTCCTTAAGCACGTTAAGGCATATATCAAACCAGGACAAAAGGTACCGTGTCAAGCATCGTCCTCATTCTGGAGCAGATCCTTCCAATTTGCAGAGACATCTATATACATTGATGGTCCTCTCTGAGGTCCCTGGGCGTGGGTCAAGAAACTTACACTCATGACGTTTTATTCTTGGCTGGGAAGAGTTTTCCTTCTCAGAGTCTCTGTTCTTTCCAAGTCCACTGCCTTTGCATAGAGTGAGCCTCGGTGGCCAGATGAGATTAGATGAACACCAGACTGGAACTAAGCAAAAATGCAAGAATATTTCGCACTTTAGCATATAGTGTCATTGGAGTCCAGGTTAAAATGCTGAAGTTTCAAAAATGTTTCTGGGACAGGTCCACATGATCCTGAGAGGCAGAAAACAGGAGTCTGCTTGCCGTGCTCTTTTTTTTCTTTCTGGGTGTCTGCCACTGGCCATTTCATCTCACCAGCAGGGCAGTCCAGTCCAGCTTTCCCAGAAGGACTACAAATCTGATTTGCAGCTTCCCTCTATAAGTAACATCTTGCTTTCTTTTGCAGGTTGGAATCTGTGGTCGTACCGGCAGCGGCAAGTCATCCCTGTCTTTGGCATTCTTCAGAATGGTGGACATATTTGATGGTTAGTTTTCTCTAGACTATGTTGTCACTTCTAACCTTTATTTCTTCAGAAGAATCAAGGACACTTTTTGGTGTTTATATCCTGCCTCTCTGGCTCAGAAGTTACTTGATTAGAATGGGGCTTGTTATGCCTGATCCTTCAAAGTACAAAGTGTCCTACTGTGAGGAGCACTTGGTTCTTCCAGGAAATGTTACGCACAGATTATACTTCCAAATTTTTTTTTTTTTTTTTTTTGAGGACGTTCTGACAAAATAGTATGCCATTTTTGAGATAGGAGGAAAAAATATGCAACTCTCTGGAGCCTCTAAATTTCTCCCTAAAGAATAACTGCATTAACTTATGATAGCTGTCAAAATGTTAGCAGAATAGAAACTAGAATTTAACAAGTCCATTCCCTTGATATTTATTTTTTATTTTATTGTGGTTTCCCACAACTACAGCAGAAACTGACTTAAGGTTTTGGAAACATTTTGCTATATTTTCACTCCTGTGGCATTTCACTCTCCCAGATAATTGGAATAAACAGCAGCAATATGCACCCTGGCATTTATAATACTTGTGGGCTGTTGCAGGAATATGGAAACCTACTGGAAAGTCATCGTTTTGTTTCAAAGATTTCTATGTTTCTAATTCAGCCATTGTGTGTGGAACATTTGGTAGGGAAACCCCAGTAGGATGTGGGAGGATAAATAATGCCTCCAATACTTGCTTTTGTTGTGATTCTGTGCCTATATGTATCTATGGTAATAGGTTTCTGATTAATGGCTGGGGTTCCTGCATATATAAATAGTGCAAACAAATAATAGTTATATTTATGGCCAACTTTAAGGTTCCTTGTACTTTAATCTTCTTTCATTATCTTTTCTCTGTCTGTTCTTTCTGTATCCCTGATTTTTCCCAATGGGAATGCCTAAGTATTTTCTAATCAAGCTCTGTTTATCCTTTGTGCATATCCCTCTCTCTTGCTCTCTCAGCAGACCCATATTTGGCCTCTATGCTCGTCCACTTCTGGGTGGAGTCCTGGCTCTCATAAAAGTTGCATAACAAGATTTCGAGTAACTTTACTGGAGCCAGATTTCATTCATGTTGTCCATCCTGGTTCCTTATGGCTCTGTTATTTCTTTGTATTTGTATGTGTTCATGTTATTCCTCAACTCTCACTTCTTTTTTTTATTCTTTAGTGTTTCCCTTTTCTTGCTTTCTGTTCAAACCAACTCTCTTTTCTCCTCTGTCTTGCTTGGACACCCTTCGTTACCTTCCTGGTTTCCCAACTCTTCTCTAATATACTTCTTCACTTAGGTCTCCTCATCTGCTCCTCTATTTTCCTTGAACACACTGGCTTCCATCAAAAATGAATTCCCCTATTCCCAGTGCATGCCATATTAATTTTTCTCTCATTAGTCCACCTCATCTTCTGCTAACCTTCTCTCATGTCCTCATTTATGAAGAAAAGGAATTGCTTAAGTTTATGCAACTGCTGATGTCTCATGCTGAAGTCTTATGACCTGATTCAGACTTTCTGAAAGTCTGAAAACAATAGGACTTTGCACCATGTGGATGAAATCTTGGTTCCTCTGACCTTCTAATAAAAGTGGGAGACTAAGAGTACTCCAACTAGGTGGAGATTAACTCTTTCATCAGAATAGGGCCACATAGAGTAACCTACAAAATGCAGTATCATGACAATTGGGAATGACAGAAGAGACATACCTGCAGAGCTTTGAATATCAATGTGTTTCCCGGTTCATGTTAGGTTCTCACTTTTGGGAAAGAGAACTGATGAACTTGATGTTAGATATTTTCCAATTCTGAGTGCAGCTGCCCAGTGAAGTAATACACAGGGAAACTGCAGAAGTGACCCTGATGAAAATACCCCTTACCATATCCTCATACCCTGGCCCATCCCTTCCCCATAACCCAGAGGAAGTTTCTGTGTCCAGGGAAAGTCAGTGGGGTCAGTAGTTCCTGGCTTTTGTTTGAGGATTTAAAGGAAGATATTCCTTCTGCCCTTCTCACCCTCTTCGACTTACAGAGCAGCCAACCAGTTTCTCTTGTACGTTTCCCCCATCTCCCTTGGCTGAATATCAGCAGTTGCCACACCCAGCACATCATAAATCAGATTTTCAGATGAGATCCATATGCTCATTGACCTGAAGTAGTGACTAGAAAAGGAAAAATCCTCTTACTTTACCAAGTATCCCAGCTGTTGCGGCAGCTTCTTGTCAGGGAATGAACTACTAGGTTAAGGAGTGATTAATGTGACGGCTTCCAGTAATCTTATGCTAGCAGAACAGTATGTGGCTAATTCACAACCAAATACTCAAATGCAACTGAGCTGTAGGAACCAGCATGAATGGTATTAAAATGCCTTGGAGTAGGACATCCTTTTTGTCTTTTTCTGATCGGCCTCTTTTTAAAAACGTAATGCCACCCTATTCCTTCTGGAGCCTGAAGGATAGTTTTGGCTCCTGATGTATGAATTGCAGATACATGCATGCAATATGCAAAAGGAATTGTGCCCAATCTCCAATTAAATATCTTCTGCAACTGTTGAAGTCAAGGGGAACAGAGAAGGGCACAGGACAGGTACATAAGTCGTTCTTGTTCTCACTGTTTGGCTGTAAAGCGCAGGTTGCCCCATAGTAAACTATCCTTCTGGTGCTGTCATTAATCATATAGCAGGGATGCCACATATTTCCTTTAAGGGAAGGTGGAGGGGGGCAAAATAAGAAGAGCAAGGGCACAGTGTCTCTAATAAGCTGGATTCCCTCTGGCTTGCGTTGCTACAGGCATTCGTCCACCTTCCCTGTGGGCTGAGAGATCGCAGAGGCCCCGATGCCTCATCCTCTGGAGTCCAGCCCAAACGAGCTGTTTTCTCTTTCTGTCTGCTAACCTGCAGATCACCTGCTTTGTGCAATTCCCTGACACGTCTTTCTGCATGTCATTTTAAACAGGGAGGATAGTGATCGACGGAATAGACATCAGCAAATTGCCTCTCCACACTCTCCGTTCCCGACTCTCTATTATCCTCCAGGATCCGATATTGTTCAGTGGCTCCATCCGGTAGGTGTAAGCCATCAGGGGGTGGCCATTGCATGGCGTGTTTGTGATGGGCACTGTGGAACAGAAAGGGGTGTAAAAGGGAAGGAACCTTCCTAAGCTCGGTCCAATCTGTCTACACAGTCTGCCTGAGGGAAGTCAAGTGGCATACACAATGCCAAAAAAGTTCCTTTGCAGAAGATATGAATGAACTGTAATTGCAGTAACAAGACTCTTGTTATGGTTTTCTTGGCAGCTTTAATTTGGATCCAGAATGCAAGTGCACTGATGATAGGCTGTGGGAAGCTTTGGAGATTGCTCAGTTGAAGAACATGGTCAAGTCGTTGCCAGGAGGCCTTGGTATGTCTGAACCAAGTGTCTGGGAACATAAGCCCATAATGAAATTATGCATGTATGAGCATGCAGATATATAAACAGGTATATGGGATCTTACACTCTGAACCAACATGTAGGAGCTGATAGGCACCGAATGAATATTCTGTCTCTATGCTAGAGAGAATATTCATACTAAAAAGCTGAAGAGTACTCTGGTTTTCCACTCATTGCAGAAATATCCTGCAGCGCCTCAAGCATCACAGTGGGGTGACTAGTCAGCAAAGAGTTAAAAAAGAGCAGTTTTACCTCTGCTTCTTCAGCAGAATCTGAGAGAGCATTTTCCTTATCACTTCAGATCTGGTTCACAAAGGAAACTCACATACTTCCTTCCAGATTAAGTGTATTTCATATTACTAAGATATTATCCTGCAGCCTACCACATTTGTTAAGTATTTGTGCCAGCTATTTGCTTAAGGATGTATTGCTCTCTTCTCTGGGTATCTCTACAGTGGTCAGTCAAGAGGATGCTTATTGGCTTTTACAGGGATTTTGCTTGGCCCTGGAATAGTGCACAGCCAGAGTTATCACGGTGCCCACTCAAAATCACTGGGACCCAACTGTGTTTCAGTGGTGCCATGTTCAAACTAAACTGTTTTTTATTACAGATGCGATGGTAACAGAAGGTGGAGAGAACTTCAGCGTGGGGCAAAGGCAGCTCTTCTGTCTGGCCCGAGCCTTCGTCCGCAAGAGTAGCATCCTCATCATGGATGAAGCCACAGCATCTATTGACATGGCCACAGTGAGTGTAGCAATTGGCACCATTGATGCATGGATCTACTAGGAGAGGAGGTGTCGTCTTCCCTAAATGTCAGCCACGAGATCTCTTTGGCAGAAAAAAAATGACATCTTTTTTTTTTTTGCCTTTCTCCTGTGTTTGGGTTCAGTTGTTGCTGTTGATGTGTTCTGGGGGTTGATGCCTGTGGTGAGGGGAAAAAAAAGGCAAAATGAATTGTTTTAGGAAATCCCCTGTGTGGCATTTCATTACTAAGAATCTGGCGCACAGATCAGAGATAGTACGGAATACAATCCTCTCTCTTATGTGCTTGAATACACACGAATTAAAATGTAAAAGGGTGGAGTAACTGAAGGAAGCCTTTTCCTTTGACAGGAAAACATTTTGCAGAAGGTTGTGATGACTGCCTTTGCAGACCGCACGGTGGTAACGATAGCGGTAAGTAGTGATGCCAGCAAATGCTCTCTTCCCTCATTCCTCCGGCAGTTAATCTTGCCTTTCACCAGTTAAACATCACTGTAGAAAACTAAAACTATCAAAAAATAAAACACCAGGTCAGAATATTCCCAGATATTAGAACAAGTCAAGACACACACTGTCAACCTGAAATTTTCCAGTAAGTGTTGACTTGCACGTGAGCCAAACTAAGCCATTTAGCTCTGAAGAAGTACTTTGCAGAGAACTTCACCATCTACACTGTCTCCAATAAAATTTGAAGTCTTTCTCACCAAAAAATTTAAACTGGGCCCATGGGTTAAATCATTATTGAAAGTTGCATCAAAATCTAGTTTTGAACTTTGCCTCTGCAGTCTATGCATGGATAGTGTCTACAATCATGGCACAAATTTATAAAAGGAGCTGAGATTTCAAAAGCTTGTTGGTGGGGTTTCTTAAGTTGGGTTATCTTTCCTTTCAGAATAAAAAGTTTAAGGTAAAGGTTTTAAAAGTTGGAATCTGTGGGAATTGCTCAAAAATTAATATCTGTTCAAGTAAGGGTTTATGATATTTTTTTCCTGCCATTTCTAGTGCCCCAAAGTTCCATGTATCTCTGCAGGTATGTGTGTGTGTGCCCATACATGTACATGCACACGCACATACACACACACGCAGTGTTCCACCTTGTGACAGCAGACTTATTCAACAAACAGATGTTTTATCCATGAGATAAATACAAGTTTCAACAGCTGTTTCACTTGCTTTGTCTGGAATCCAGTCCTGCGGTCAGAGATTAGAGTTATGCCTCCTGGACTCTGGTTTCAAGTCTGTCAGTGACTAGTTTCTGTCAAGCAAACCACTTAACCTAGCTCATTTACAGTAGGCTCTAAGGTTCTTGGATGTGTAAATGCTGAAGATGCTACCAGTAAGCACATTTCTTCTTCAGTGACATGCCATTCAAATTTTCAATATGTCCTTCTGACTGAAATCTCACTTTTCTTTCGCTTTGCCTTTCCAAAGTCGGTGTCTCAAGTGAAATGGCACACCTTAATATTTAGCTTTGCTCACAGAGTTGCCTGCATTTCCTTCCTCTCTTCATTCGTGGCTGATCCTTCCTTCACCCACCTGTTTTTCTTTTCTTTTTTTCCAGCATCGCGTATCTCACATCTTGGACGCCAATATTGTCCTAGTCCTCTCTGAGGGCTTTCTAGTTGAATGTGACACTGCCTCAAACTTACTCCTCAAAGAGGACGGCCTGTTCACCACTTTGGTGAAGACTCACAAGTAGACTCTCTCAGTCCACACTATTCACGAGACTTCTGGCTCTTTGGTAGTTATTTTTACCTCTTTAGTTTCCTTTCACTCTGCTTCCTTTCCACTGCGCAGCTTCTGAGAATGACAGTGCAAGAAGGTGTTTATTGTGTGGTTTCTGGGTTTGTTTAATTATGTGATTATTTGTGCTAATCATTTTTATCTAAAGCTTAGACAGGCAGCTAACATTCAATCTATAATGTTAGAGGAATCTACTCCATAAAGTAATCCCTGACCTTCAGCCTTTAATAGTGAAATATCACGCTTTTAGAGTTCACCCTGTCCATACCTGTGGAAGTCAAACTCAGCCTGGCTTCATTCCTGTTGCCTGTGGAGCTAAACTATAGCCTGTAGCCCAGACAAATTTTAATTTTAGAGGGAGCCAATTGATTTACAGAAGGAAAACAGCCTAAGATAGATGCAGAGCAAGGCAGTCAGGGTACCAGAGATCAAGGAGCAGAGCGGGACGCTGAGCCACCCCACGCTCCACGCATACCCTGGATGTTTCTCCTCCATGTTTCCTAAAGGGGAAGGTGTTTGTCAGGGATGCTGGAGGATTTATTCCGACAGCTGTGCTGTCCATAATGGCAATTAGCAGACCGAAAGTGAAGTGCACGCTGAAGTATTTTCAGGCGTGGTGCCAGAAGGCTGTAAAGTAATTGGAGATCTCTCCAGATGGAAGAAATACAGTACCAAGGGCCTACTCCAAATACTCCAAGGACAGCCTTTCAGCGAGTCGCTATGCCTTGCATGAGGCCTGCTGATGACAATTATCCTAATGAAAACTTCTGTATGCCTTTCTTTACGGCAGCACCGGGTCCACACCATCCTAACGGCAGACCTGGTCATCGTCATGAAGAGAGGGAACATTTTAGAATATGATACTCCTGAGAACCTACTTTCTCAAGAAGACGGCATCTTTGCTTCGTTTGTCCGGGCTGACATGTGAACAATTGCATGATGCATTTTAACAGCTTATTTTTAAACAAATGAAATGCAAAATATTTTCTATTCGACGTAACGTCACTTTTATCTTTTTTTTTTTTTTTTTTTAGAACGTCTTTCTTGACACTTCCATCTTCCAAAAGAATAAAACCTATTGCAATACATGTATGCCTCAAAGCAATAAAAATGTCACTTCATTCAAAAGCTATTAAGCTTCACACACACACACACACACACACACACACACAGAAGTTTTTATTTCCTGGGAATTTGGCATTTTCCTTAGACTTTTTAGTGACTTTTCTTTTATAGAGAGCAGAAGAATGCAGTGCACTTATAGACTGCGTATGTTAAGCTGGAACTGGCAAACAAATCATGCAGTTTGTCAAGGAAACAAGAGATCCCAAAATGCATTCTGTCCCCAGAGGGGAAAAATGAAAAAATAAAATAAAATAGGAGCAATCTGCAGCATTCCAAAGGCATAAACTTTGCTCTTCAAGTTGCAGTGGAGGAGCAGTGAACGAGGGAAAGGAATTTCATCAGAAATAAGGAAATTCTTCCTGTCCTTCACTTTAGTTTTCATGCTATAGTTGACACAGTACTATTTTTCTGGGCTTATCCCTACAGCCAATTTCTAAAGCCATATTTTTGCTGCAGATTTTCTTCAATCAAAGATGCAAATAATCCTATAATTAAGCATGCTTTGATAGGCATCTGGAGGAATTTTGTACAGTATCTTAAGACTTTGTATTAAAAATAATATTAATATATAGACTTGATATTAGCCAATCTTTTAAACATGGCCACTAAAATACTCTACTTAAAATGGCATGTAATTAGCCAACCACTGATTGTTTTGTATGTCTTTAGTCCTTTATATTATTTTTTATCCTGGGACGACCTTTCTTTTCCTTCACACATTTCTGGCGTATCTCTAAAGCAGATCTAGTCCAAGGAGGTACGATTTTTCAAATTACTTCTGTATCTTCAAGAATTTAGGTGAATTTAGATACGTATTCACAACATACAGCTTTGAAAAGGTTGCCTGCACTTGCCTGATGCATACGGCTAGATTCTGAACCGTGACAACCACACAATGGCCACTAAACCTCCAGAAGGAGTTTCACAGACACTTTCAAAGGTAGAGCTGGAGCCATCAGCCTCACTACTAGTATTCACCTATTGTTATAAGATTTAGGAAGAACATACTTAAACCTATTTCTAGTGTAACGAAAAGAACCTAAGGCACAGTACTTGGCAAAAAAATTGCTATGAGCTTTGGAGAAGTTGTAGGACTTAAAATTGGGATTACATTTAGTCTAGTAGTGTAAAAACGATACAGTCATTTATCTTTTTTTTTTTTTTTTTCCCCATCTTTACTATTGGAAATAAAAGCTGTGCAACACAACTAAACAAAAAAACTCAGTCTTGAACATTTTATGAGGGGAAGTACTTCTGTGATTTCCCTGTCTACTGCTGTGAAATGTTTTTGCTCTTTTCTGGATTAATTCCCTGTGTTGAACTTTGTCATACAAAGAAAATAAAAAATAAAGCAGATGTTTACAGCGGAAGTGCATGTTGTTACACACATTTCAGAGCCAAAAGGGCAAAATCATTTTTGATTTAATTTCATTGTCTTCAGTTAAAAGCTAATCGGATTAATTGCTTTCAGGCTTAGTCAGTATGAAGATGAAGTAGGCGTAATTGTTTATCTGTGTGTCTTTGATGATGATGCAATCCTGATTTATTTTAAGTGGTGCTAACTAGTTCAGCGAGATCCTGGTTCCCACTCCATTAAATGACTGCCATGGGCCTGGGATTGTGTCAGGGATCTTTTAATACTTAAGAGAGTCCAATAATTAGTACCTCTTTCCCCTTAAATTTGTCCTCGTGCCATTACAGGAGTAAGAAGCACCTTCTTTGCTCAGCCATCCTTCCAGAGCTATGGAACTTACACTGTTGCTACACATGTAGAAAAGAAAATAACTTAGGGGCTGAAAAACAAACTGAGAAAAACGCTTCATTCATCTTGATGGAGGCATGCAGGAATATTGGCCCTAGTGTTACATCAAAATTGCTTGGTCGAAGTGCTCGATGGTCGTTGTAGCGTATCCCACAGCTGCCTAGCTGCTTTAAAAGCACAATTTAATTCCTGAAGCAATTCGTTGTCTTCAACATACACAAATCCCAAGACAGAAAGCAAATATAAACCGACTGCTGTAGACATACCAGATCTTGCCCCTGTGCCTGTGATGTTATATGCTCAACACCACAGCCCCTGTGCCTGTGATGTTATATGCTCAACAAGGACAGAGGCTGAACTTTGCTTTTTTTGTGTTTTCCTCTGATGGAGGAGGGTGTTCCCAACAGCTGCACAGCTCCTTTGTTAACTAAGAAGGGTGAAAAAGGAAGAAAGTCTATGAAAGAAATTTCTCTTCATTTCATGTAAAGCTCTTAAATGTGCCCCCTTTAGGAGCAGTTTCCATAGGCTGCGGCGCATACATGGTAAAGGAAACAACAGCCTGGAATTTTGCTGCTTTGACTTTTGTCACGCTGCCTCTTCTTCTGCTGGTCAGCCCTTGTTGCCTTGCCGCATTCTCAAACCCTCCTGCTCGTATCCCTGAATGCTTCTTGTTCTGCCTGTGGCCTCCCACTCCTTCCTGATTTAGCTCCATACCCTCTGCTCCATTTCCCCTCTGACACAGCTCTGCACGGACTCTCCCTTCCCCCTGGATTTCACCAGCTTTCTGTCCTAACATCCCTCCTCTTCAGGGGGGACACTTCCTCTAGTGTCATCATGCTGTGGGGTTGGTTGTTTTTTTTCCAAGCATTAAGCTAAGCAAGTTTTCAATATTGTGATATCATGCTGTAGAACTGTTAAGTCCTTCCTTTTACAAAGGAGCTTTGAATGCAAACACTGGCCATGTGTACGTTTCTTTTAACTATGGACAGAGGAAAACCATCTCTGTGAGAGATCCTAAATTATGTTTCTCATCTGCATTTCTTTCTTTTTCTGTTAACTGATGGTGTGACAGAAGAAGCGAAATAAGAGTAAGATTCCTTGTTGCTAATCACTGAATCATAGAATGGTCAGAGTTGGAAGGGACCTTAAAGATCATGGAGTTCCAACCCCCCTGCCCTGGGCAGGGACACCTCCCACCAGACCAGGTTGCTCCAAGCCCCATCCAGCCTGGCCTTGAACCCCTCCAGGGATGGGGCAGCCACAGCTTCTCTGGGCAACCTGTTCCAGTGCCTCACCACCCTCACAGCAAAGAATTTCTTCCTAATCTCTAAAATAATCTCCCTTCTTTCAGTTTAAAACTGTTGCCCCTTGTCCTGTCACTGCACTCCCTGATAACGGGTCCCTTCCCATCTTTCCTGTAGGACCCCTTTAGGTACTGAAACTGCTTGTGCAGTTCCACTGCTTGTGGAACTACAACGGTGTTTCTCAACCTTTGACTTGCAACCAGTGATTTATCTTTCCCCCTCCCTGAGCCGGGTCTAACGGCAGCCATGGATGAGGCTGCCTCTACGTGGCCTGTCATCAAACTCGTTACAGCTAGCTGCTCATTACTGCTTCTTCTAAACTAGACATGTCCCATACAACCTTTGTGTTTACTACTGAGCCAGGACTTATTTGTGCTGGGAAACACCCTGTAGGGATTTTAAGTAGTTCTGGAAGGAGCTCCACAAGCCTCTGCCATAAAGCAACAACAGGTAGCAAGGGGAAGCTCTTCCCTCTTCAAGATCCACTGCTTAAAACCATTGTCTCCGTCTATTCATTTTGCTGGGGATCTACATCAGCACATTGGATGCTGATTAATCTAAGGTGAATTATCTTGATGATGTTTTCCAGGCAGTGGCAGCTTGAAAGATGAGGAAAATGTCCTTAAGAATAGCTTTGCCTGAACCACTTGTGTTCTGCTGATTGTTATTTATGCTTCAGGGATTTTGGGAGCATGACAATTATTTGGACTTGACATTTCAAACAGTACAGTTACCAAATAGGAAAGTTGCTTTTTCTTTTTTTTTCCTTAAAGGAAATAAATCAAATCAGTAGCTGTGAAGACTCGTAATTCTGGGCTGAGTTTCTGACTTTGTTGCTGATTTTTTTGTAACTTCAAAGTTGTTTAATATTATATGTTATTTGAAAGAGTCCCTTATAACTAACTATTCACACTCCCTTCACTTTGTTATGAAGATCTCTTAACACCACCTGGATAAGTTTGCCATTTGATGTACAGCACGCGTGGTGTGTGTGTGATTATATGCAAAAACACACATGTGATCTTTGGTTCTGGAGAAGAATATGGTACAAGTAACTCAAGGTTCATTTCCTTTCTGTTCAGAAGAAAGGTTTCCAGGTCCAAAAGCATGCTTTTTTCAGTGCCAGGCAAAGATGCAGGTCACTCAGTCAGTCATCCACTGGAGGTGCCTCTCTCACCCACGCCTGCAGAAGGAGTCTTGGCAATGAGCTTGAACTAGAGGTCTGCCTTTTCCATCACTAACTTTATAGCCTCAGGGAGCCTCTGAGAGGGACAATTAGTGGGATTTTTAGCCATGTATAAACCAAAGAGGATGCGCTGATCCACCGGCATTTCCTGCAAGGCAGACACCCCTGGAGAAGTTTGGGATAGCCCTGGTAAGCCAGGGGCATAAGCAAGATGAACTCTGCAGGGAGAGGTCACTGCTTTGTTAGGCAAATTGATATGCAGAAGAGGTATCTCAAGTGTTTGTAAGTACTAGTTTCCTTGCAGACTTGAAAAACTCTTTATTTGCAAGAGCGTGCCTGCTTTTTCCAGCTGTATCATTCAGCTGAAAGAATATGTTATCAAAGACTTGTGCAGTGCTTGAATGAGTCCCTTTTAGGTTAGTGTAAACCAGCAGAACACCTCTGCTATCAGTGAAGACACCTCCACTGAATTCAATCAGTACCAACATGAATATGGCCCAAAGGATATTGACATCTCATTATATGTAAACCTCTGCCAGCAAAAAGTAACTGTAGCGATTATGTACAGATGACATCAATTTTTAATGTGGTCAAGCAATTGTCTTCAAACTTCTTACACAACAAACTGTTGGATACTTAATGGTGTTCTTTTTGCTTCCTAAAGCAACTGGGCTCTTGTGCTTTGTTGTGAAAAGGTGCCAATACATTCACATACCATTCTGGTAACATGCCATGAGGAGCTGAAGGAAACATCACACATACATTTTAACACAAGCTGTGTAGGCTCACAAATGGAGATACAATGTCTTTGAGGCAGTTACCTTTATTAAAAAGCTGTGGACAAGGGCCACGTTTTCATTAAGTTGCCATTATCTACTGACAGAAGCTGGAGCTATGTTTCCCTTGGAAGCACTATGGCCCAGTGTCCCCAGTGTGATCCTGCCAACAGAAAACAGTTCTAAAAAATCTAGTGAAACCACATTGCTACTTGTTAAAATCTCTTCAGAACAATGATTCTCCCCAAAAATGTGTTCAAAAGCAAAAATAGCATATTTGCTATTTTATATACTCAAGTAGCACCTTTTGAAAGCCTAATTTAAAATCAAAATATGTTATGTAGATTCTCTGATATGAATTCAGTGATGGCATGTAAAGAGTTCTTTAGTTTCTTTGGAAATAAATCCTTTCAAAGGCAAAACTAAGAGGACTAAAAAAAGTCTGAAAACAAAACTGTAAATCAAATTCTTCATTGCCATGCAAACATCCCAGTCATTTCCACATTGGTTTTTTACTGCTCTGTTTTTTCTCCACCAGAACTGACCTCTGCGTGGAATCGTGGGGAAAGATTATCAGGTTTTCAAGTTATCAAAAAACTGTTGTGAGGCAGAAGTTCTCTGGCTCTTACAAATTAGCAATGTGCTGATGCTGTTTTGGCAGGACAGCTTAGAGTATTGGCTTGTACGAAGCCATGGAGTTCAGAGAAGCTTCCAAATGTAATCCTTCAAGAGAAGAGAGATTTTTAGAAAAGTCTTCATCTATTTACTACATAGTTATTATTAATTATTCACTATTGATATCATCTGTCTGCTGCTAGGCACTACCCATGCAAACATAACAGACATTCCTGGCAGGAGCTGTTTATTTCTCTAATATAACAAGCCACATTCTGAAGAGTCTATAAACAAGCAGTCATTTAAATATATATATTTTTTTTAAAAAAATTAGTTTCTATTTGGTGTCAATGACATTAATCATGTGCAAGATGCCTTCTTTCATTTTCGTTGAACACAAAGGTTTTTCGCCCTGTGAATTATTACACAATAATGCAGCACTCAGCTCACATGTTGCACATCTCACTGCCCAGTGCATTCATTCCCATGTATGTATAGCGGTCATTTTGATATATATACACACTGCATGGCTATACATCATGTGGATAAAAGGTATAAACAAGTAATGAACTTGTAATGAACAGTTAGCACTGCCCATAAGTGTGTCTCATAGCTATTCCCATGACATTTCTTAACTCTCCCTTTAATTTACCTCAGGGTTTTCTGGCTGTACCAGCTTACATCCATAAATATCACTTAAACGTCCAGTAAAATATTTAACCATGTA